TGTGACACAGTTTTAGAATATCTAAGATACTGACAGATAGTGACACAAGATAAATTATTGAATTTGTCTTCACAAGCGAAAGCAGGCAAGCACGCAGGAGCATTTTTTGTTCTATCAAGATCTTGAAAAGGATAAAGCTGGAGAAAACATGGGCAAGGTGGAGCAATGCACTTTCAGAAAGTGCCAATCAAATTTATTTCATTTAATTAATTTAATTGGATCATTTAGGGGATTTTATTTAGAAAAAAAGATTAGAAATTCATAACTGGGAAGTAAATTTTCAAATTAAATTGTTGCAAATTCCTTTTTATTTGATTTTTTTGTGAGAAGGGAAATGAGTTTGGCACTTATTTATTGTATCAGGAAAGTAAATGTTTAAGCTACTTTTCTAGGCCCAACGTTTAAGCCAGAGTTTTATAGCCACCTGAAGAGGGCTGTGCACAAAGATGGTTTCATAATCTGAATGATTTGAGAAGTTTGCAATGGATCATATTGTCAAAATGTTGGATGCTGATCAAGTCCTACAAACAAAGCAACTAGTGGAGTAGTTAAATAATAACAGTTCAAGGGTTTAAAGCACCATTCATGCATTGTCACTTTTCTATACAGAGGCATGGGGGGCTGGTATCTTCATTCCTCATTGGGAGAGAGTCGGGGTATTGATCAGTGGTCCAGTATACAAGGTTGATTCAGCTGTTTTTCCTCTTCTTTTTACTAAAGACTGCTTTCTTCTAACAGTTGCTTACTTTTAAAAGGAATTTTTTTTTATGAGAAGTTTGGATCTTCTGCTGTGGGGCTGACAGAACAGCACCATCTCCGATGCAACATTTTGCTGACAGTATTTTGCTTCTTTCCAAAAAGACAGTAAAGCACAACTATGTGTAGTTCACTTAAATTTTTTGGCACCAATAAACATAGTTAGAAAACACAGCCATATATTGCCATCTAGTGGTCGTTAGCTACAGTAACAAATGTATATTCATAGAAGGTTTGTTTTAGACTATATATACACAATTATTTGCAAAAAAATGTTCTAGTATTTTTTTTTTTTTTATGATACTAGATGGTAAGTTTGAAAACATAGAATAACTGGTTTTCCTTTCCATACATTTCAGGCATAAGCAATATTTTCTACTGCAGTTTTTTTTCTAAATAATCTGTCCCTTTATGAACTAAGAAAAACAACATCCAAAAATAAATTTTGCTCAATTAAAATATCATTAAATATAGATAAGATCCAGGCTTACAAATAATAATAATAATAAATTAGAATCTGTTAATAACATATGGGGAACAGAAATACAAGAATGGACTATTGTAAAATCTATTTCCAACTACTTTCGACAGATCACATAGGTTTTTCCTGCTGTTTTCATAGTTTTTATAAATTTAGGTTTAAGCCATGTTAACTGCAAGAACTTCATCCGTGAGATTTTAAAATGGCAGAAACTTAATGTTTGCCTGAGTATGATTCTTTATTGCCTTTACCCCACGGTTGTAAAATGAATAATGTAAAATGAGACATGCTTGGCGCGGTGGAATGTGCTTTGCTCAAGACTGAAATTAGATAAGACAACAACACCGGCAAAAGAGCGCACGTGGACTTGGCTGTTGACAGCCCAACACTTCCGGGTCCATCCCCCCAGTGCACCAGCTTTAACCCCGCCCACAGAATGACTTCGAAATTTGATAGGCCCGCTTAGAACGAAGCTATTCTAGATCTATATGTAACAGAATAGAAATTTTGCCTGGATGAATGGAATTGCTGAAAAGTGTTGTACTTTTGCGACTAATATCAGTTTATTTCCAACGCACTGTTTCATAATACCCAAAACGGTTAAAGACGGGGAAACAGGACATATTTTGTACGTCAAAGAAAATAGGAATAAACATTTATTTCAGCTAATGTACAGTTATTGTAATGATTGTAGCATACATAGTAGATAATCACTTCAGTTTATCATGTAGACGGTCTGATTGTTAATTTAATTAAAAAGTCGACATATATAGGATTAAAGTATGCAATTATATTATATATACAAATATATATATATATATATATCAAGGCTGTCAACTCTCATGCATCTCAATATTTTCACACACTCTCACTCCATATTCCCGATTTCTCACACTAAAAAAATGACAGACATTAAAACTCAACTCATTCTAGTTTAATGACCTCCCTTTGGAATTTAGGAGTAATTAAACCAACAGAAATATTTGAATTCTTAAACCTTCCAGGTTTGCCTCTCAAACCCACAAAAAGCAAAAGAATCATTGTATTTTATTTTTCAAAAGATCCACCCAAGAAAAGACCAACCACATTCAGAGAGATGTACAGAACAACTCAATTATCCTGAATTCATAGAGGAGAAAGCACAGGGATGTTCTTCTTTAATTATTACTTATCTTATTCATTTATCTTTATTTTGGTCCATTGAATATGTTTAAAAACGTAATTTCCATCACATCGACCAAAACATCCAGAGAAGTGACATAGTGAGTTTTTATAAAATCTACAGTCTACTAGAAGGTCTGAATTGTTTAGTCGTTTTTGTGAATTGTAAGAAAGACTAATAACATAATGAATGAAGATTTTTAATCCTTAGCCTATTACCAAATATTCACACACAGTGTAGTTTGCATAGGTTTCTATTGCTCTGGTTCCTGTATCAGTACCAGTAATCCAGTAATAGTTTATTAGTTCCCCATTGTTTAATTTACTTGAACTGCAGAGAATAATTTATGAAAAAAGTTGTGAAATTCTTAAAGTATAGTTAAGATGCAAAGATATATATTAATAAATGTCCTATAAACAAAGCTTATTGCTCCTGAATGGAAATTTACAGTCTCCTTGGTTGCAAATTTTGTAGACAGGTTTGGTTTTATAAAAAAAAAATGCAAACGTGTAAAGTACAACAGTACTTGATTCTGTTTGACAAGGAAAAGTCATTAGTTACAAGTTTCACAGTTTAATTTCATAGATTAAGATTATGCAGTCTTTCTGTTGAACTATCCTGCCAGATTGTTTCAAATTAGTTTTAATTAATTGTATTACATTTTATTAAAGAAGTTTAAAACATATAAGTACCACATTAGAAGAATGAGAAATTAAAAAAATAATAAAGAAAGCTGCATATTTATTTATTCTTACTACTATTCCTTAATCCAATTGCGCATATGGGTGAAGCCCTTTTTCAGGGAGTATCGTTATCTATTTGAACTAGATCTAGAGCGGAAGTGGCTGTCAGAGGTCGTTGTCCCGGAGTAACCTGCCTGCGCATCATCACATCACCCCATTCTCTGCTGTTAAGGCGACTGTCTGAGCGGTGTGACCTCATCATGATGTGATTTCTTTCCCCTTTTTTTGTGCGCGCGCGTGTGTAATCTTTACAGAGCAAACATGTGCGAAAGACACCGTTAATTTGTTGATTCATGTGAGTCAACTTTTCCAGGATTACGTGCCAGTTTATCTCCACCGGTAGGTTTATGGCGACTAATTATTTTATTCCAAATAATTTACACTAACTTTATGCACTGAAGGGCATTTTACGTTGATGCCAGAGCAGGGTATAGGACTTGAGTCCCATTCTGTGTTTATAATAGCACTTTATATTATGGTATTAGCGTCTCCCCGGTGAGCTAGCTATAGCAGCATCCCAGCTCTAGCTAGTCTCTGCTCCAACCTCCCCTTCAGTTAATCTTTATTGTCTCTTCAACTCAAAAGCTTTGGTGAAGTGTCGGCTTTAGTTATGTAATGATATTATATCTGACGGGAATTCGGACAGTTATCAGGCTAAATGTAGCCGTTACTACCTGTTAACGATGCTTCTCACCTTAGCCGTGTGTGTGTCTGCTGTGCTCGGCTTGTTTTTCTGGTCCCGCAGGCAGTTATCGATAGGTAAGGTGTGCCTGCTGACACTTTTCTCCCTTCTTTAACGAACAGGAGGTAAACCGAGCAGTTAGTTGGTTTGGCAGCGAGTTAAGGTGCGTCTACTTACCGCTTAATATTTCTGTTTTACCACCGAATGGGACATTAGTGGTAATTTAGTAACTTTATTGTTGGTAAGATATGCTGTTCTTTTAATGTTTTTGCAGAGCTTGTTTTCTTACTAATATAAGAATGTAAAGTGTGTTTAATGGTAACTTATTGACTTTTCTCAATATTTAAGAAGCTGACTCTTAATTTAATGGGTTATAGTTATTTAATAATTTATTTTCAAATAATTAGTAAGTTATTTGAAACTATTCAGAATAGGAGCCACTTAGACATGCCCTTCACAAACTTGTGAATATAATTATTTATCTGTTTATTTTCTTACCTTGATGTTAATGCCTTTGGTTAATATGGAATTTTTTTCAATCAGTTTGATATTATAGATATATTTTGCATCATAATATTTTTGGTAAAAAACCTTTCCAGAAGCTCTTCAGAGTTGGCCAAATGTCTTTTTGGTTAGACATGCCCAGAAATCCTTGATGCACTTTTTTTTATAGGTTTCTTTTATTTTTGATTTTACCAATACTGTACTAGATAGATATATATATATATATATGTATATATATATATATATATATGTGTATATATATATGTGTATATATATATATATATATATATATATATATATATGTATATATGTATATATGTATATATATATATATATATATATATATATGTTTTGTCGATTGATTTAGTTTATTTTGAATTAAGGCATTTAATGTATGTTTTCCTGACTACTGTTGAATGTTTTGCAGGTGATGATTGCATACGTTTACCTGGCTTCACATGCTTAGTAAATGTACCTGTTGAGAATCTGTTCTCAATTTGGGTCACTGTTTGGACCCAAGTGTTGCAATATCATTAAAATTTAAGTTTTGTGCAACCCGCTTTTGCAATTTAACAAACAGCCCTATGCTCCAGCTTGATATGATGTGATATGTTACGAACTTTGACCCTGCTTTTTAAGTGCTTTAGCTTCTGCACTGTTTCCCATTTGTAGTTTTTGCAGCCTGCTCACTTCGGACGGCCATGGCGCAGCAGGACGGTGCTGACAAGAAGAACCCGGCCGTCGGAGCCTTGCAGTCTCACTTCCTCGTGGGCTCCATATCGGAGGAGAACTCGGAGGATGAAATCCAGGGGAGATTAGATGGGCCGCTGGAGGACAAGGAGATGAGATCTGTGTCACCTTCTTCTGGTAGCTCCGACAGCACAAATGAGATGGGTTTTGACCTCATCGATGGCCCTGTGCACAATTTAAGGTTGGAATCCAAATCTGGGTTTATTGTTTATTTTGGTTTTCCACTATTCTTTATTCATAATTGGCTTCATCATTTAGTAATTAAAAAACATTTATCTGTGTAAAACAGTTTTTTTTTTGGTCAAGTATGAGTTGGAGCATTGGTGTAGTTTTCCATTTCTGCATCAGCCTTTTTACAGTATGTGTGAAAAATGGAGCCTCCCTATTTGCTTACTGGCTCAAAGAGGCTTCTTTGTGTACAAGCCTCTGTGGGTTTTCAAAAGACCACAAAAAGGCTCCCAAGTTTTGGTTTGGAGAAGATATTAAATAAGTTTTTGAAATAACAGTTAGAGGGAGATGCTCGGCACTGATAGACCTTTGTCTAAAACTGACTTTATTCCTCTGACTCTAGCCAGTCTTTCATTTAAATTCATTTAACTTTAAATACTATATTATTCAGAGCTTGGAACCTAAAAAATCCCCTTTCTATCTAAATAAATTAATTTAAATGTTATTCAAAAAGGATCAATGTTATTGAAGCATTAATTTGACCTTAAAATGTTATCAGAACTAGCAACAAACAGCATGGAAACTCTTAGAAGGATTACAGCTTCACAACTGGAAATACTGGGCGGGGGGTCTTTGAAATACGCTGAAACTCAGCCATTTATGTCTTGAAGCATTACATTGTTGAATTAACTGAAAGTCGTTCTCCTCATGCCGGTGATTGCTGCAGTGATGTAACCGTTCAGGATCAGGCCAGAGAAAGCCAACCAGCAGAACAAGCTCAGTCCTACCACACCCTCCAGCTGGTAGCAAAGCTCCTCCCATGAGTTCGCATAGTTCTCATCGCCCCCTGTCTCTTAAAGTTCTTATCTTGGCTGATAATTAGAGCTCACATTTCTTGTTGAGCCCGTTTACATTTTAGTGCCTATGCAGAAAAAAAGAAATCCTTGATTTTCAAATGAACCTATCCCTTTAGCTTTGTTACTCCCCTTTAGCTTTGTTACTCCCCTCTAGTTTTCAGGTTTCTCCAGATGTCAGGACTTCTTTAGCATAAATATTTCTGGGCACTTGTGTAACTCTCCAACAAACAACTATGTGTGAGATACAGAAGTCAAACAATTTACTTTATACTGTTAAGTATCTTATCAAAATTAAATATAAATATTTCCTCATGTCCGCTATATTTTTTTTTTTCGACCCACATTGGGGATTTTCATGTAAGAGTTTGAGCTACCTCAAAGTGCCCTTATGTTTTCCAAACTAAAGCTTTAAATATATATTTTTTTTTGTGTGTTTCTTTTCTTTTTCTTAAACAGACCTAGCATGTCAGGACTACACTTGGTAAAGCAGGGCAGAGATCGCAGGAGAATCGATCTCCAGCGGGACTTCACCGTCGCTTCACCCGCTGAATTTGTCACTCGCTTTGGTGGCAACAAAGTCATTGAAAAGGTAATTCATGTTATATTGACACGCTCTTCAAATGATGACAAAAAGCCTATAAAACAAAAATGCTGTCAGTCATACTTTTAGATGTAGGCTCACAGTTATATTTTTACAACATTAAAGCTTAGTCAATTTTATGCATTTGTGCTTCTTAAAAGCTCTTAAATTTGTACATATTTGATAACACCAGAAATCTCTGTGTATTTTGTTTATGGTGTTGGATTTTATTTTATGTGCAAATTAGGGCTGAAACAATTAATCGGATTAATCATAATTTTTTTATTATTGAAATAATCGGCAACTATTCAAGTAATCGGATAATTGTTAATTGGAGTATAGTGACGGAAATGCCTTTAGCTGACAAAGTGGCCCACTTTAAGCAGTAATTGGATCAAAATTGTGAAAAAGTATGTTAACATTTTGCATTTAAGATAAAAAAAAAATGTTTGATCCAGAACTCCTCAAAATTGTACTTTAACATAACTTTTTCTTTATTCAATCACACAAATTTTCTTAAATGGCCGTTGGTTGTTTAAATTTGTTTTCTTCATTCAGGTGCTAATTGCCAACAATGGCATTGCTGCCGTTAAATGCATGCGCTCCATCCGCCGTTGGGCCTACGAGATGTTCCGTAATGAAAGAGCTATCCGTTTTGTGGTCATGGTGACCCCAGAAGACCTGAAAGCCAATGCAGGTGAGCCTTTTCTTAGTTGTAAATTATTTTTTTTTCTAACTCTGGTAAAATTCTTCTATTTTCTCACAATAAACAAGTGAAAAATGGAAGCCCTTCAGTTCTAGACCATAATTTTAAGTGATGATAAACCAAATCAGGTGATGTCTTTTCAACCAAATGACTCAGTTTTTTACTTAAGTAGAGCAGTGGCATGTTAACTAGTGTTTGTACTTATGTTAACATCTAGCCTTGATGTTTATCTGTTACAATGAAACAAGTGTCTAGCAGTAAGAAGACTGGCTGAGAATTGTTAGACTTGTGTGTTTGTTATTTCACATATTCATTTTGTGTTTCACAGAATACATCAAAATGGCCGATCATTATGTGCCCGTGCCTGGAGGGACTAACAACAACAACTATGCGAATGTTGAGCTCATTCTTGACATTGCAAAGCGCATACCTGTTCAGGTACAATGAATATGCTGATTTCTCCTACAGCTAACTCATCGTTTTGCTGTCAGCTATTGATCAGTTGTTTGTTTTCACCCACCATTGTAGGCAGTGTGGGCAGGATGGGGTCATGCCTCAGAAAATCCCAAACTCCCAGAGCTCCTTCACAAACATGGCATTGCCTTTATGGGTAAAGGACATTTGTCCCTTTGTTGAATTTTTAGCTACTGTTTTCTTCCTACTATCCGTCCCTCTTTTTTTAAGGTCAGATTTTCTTAGTTTATATAAATTGTTCTTTAGGTCCACCAAGTCAGGCTATGTGGGCTCTTGGAGACAAGATTGCCTCCTCCATTGTAGCTCAGACGGCTGGTATTCCAACTCTACCCTGGAGCGGATCAGGTAACTGATTTTATTGTTTTGATACTGTTTGGGAGTTTTTCCACTAATATCACTTCGAAAATGTGCCTAAAGTTAAAGTGGCTGTAGCTTTTTCTTGTCTCTGCCTTTTTTAACTATTCCATACAACTCAATAATTTATATAAAAAAAAGTGTATATATGTATATAACTACTCAAAAAAGTGCTGAACAACATTTAAGCCAAAAAACTGAAACAAAAAACTGCAATATGCTCAACTCCTTTTTATTTAATGAGCATATAGAATGTTTAAAATAGTGAAGATGTATAGGACAAAAGCTGGCAATTTCTGGGTTAAATATCAAAGACAGGAAAAAAGTGTTTTTAATAAGTTTTAAAAATGGCAAGAAAAAACATTTTCAGCTGCACGTTGAGTCAAAACAGAAAAGGCGCTGTGTGCTCTATTTTAGGGCTGCATCTACCAATTCAACATACAAAATAGCTGTTTCCCTTTCTATTTTAAGGCTTGACAGTGGACTGGTCAGAAAGCAATCAAAAGAAGAAGATCATCAATGTGCCTAATGAATTGTATGAGAGCGGCTGTATCCATGACGTGGAAGAAGGCCTCAAAGTAAGCTTGTCTTTGAAACATTACTGTGCAGGAGCTGAAACCATGCTTGGACGGCTTCTTAAATCTTTGATCTATTTCCAGGCTGCAGAAAAGATTGGTTATCCAATAATGGTGAAAGCTTCAGAGGGTGGAGGAGGAAAAGGTATCCGTAAAGTCAACTGTGCAGAAGACTTCCCTAACCTCTTCAGACAGGTAAAAACTACCTGGCCTCCCTACATTTTGAGTGGATTTATATTGCTGCACTGAATAACAGCATGATCGTACTCTCCTCTGGCGGTTTAGGTTCAGGCAGAAGTGCCAGGATCCCCCATCTTTGTCATGCAGCTTGCCAAGCATGCCCGTCACCTGGAGGTGCAGATTTTGGCGGATCAATATGGAAATGCAATTTCCTTGTTTGGCAGGGACTGCTCTGTTCAGCGACGTCATCAGAAAATTATTGAAGAGGCTCCGGCAACCATAGCTACCTCTGATATATTTGAAGATATGGAAAAGGTACTGTGTCGTGACTTATAGATTTCATCATGATTTCTTTCGGGGTCAATTTATAGGGTCTTAAATAGTTTTAGCAGTCCTACATTTACACATTTAAAGTTTGATACTTAATAAAAGTCTTAAAGTAGGAAATTTGATGTCATAGGTCTTATATTTTGTTTTAGTTTCACCCAGTGTTATATAAGCCTAGCAAGCTAACAGGCCAAGTGTCAGGTTGCATATTGGAAATGTATCGTTTGAGATTGACAAAAGATGTTCAGAAAAGCTCAGGGTTTCGATAGCCGACAAGTTAACAGCTATTAGCTGCTATGTCGTTTGGGGCCGAGCCGTTTGAAGGTGATTTTTAACCTGGGTTGCTTGCGAATTCGTTTGACCCGGGTAGACTCGAGTCAGTGAACTAGTCTCACTGCCACTAAAAGTCAATTGTTCTCGGGTCTACACAGGTTTTTCGGCCATTGGGAAAGGGGTAGTAGTGTACTTTGTCTATCCGGACAACACAGGGAAGGTGAGACGGCATTCTGGAGCCTATACAGGAGTAGCGGTAAATCAGTGCAAGATAGTAAGATCATATTAGTCCATCGAGTGGACGGAACACTAAAGGCAGGATAGAGGCTACAGCAGGCTGAGAGTAGGACGGCTGTACATCTGCCAGGTAGAGAAAGGCTACGGCTGGCCAGAGCTAGCCTCTAGAGACAAACTGCAAGAGATGAAACAAGCAGAGATGAGGACTCACAAAGTCTTTCGGCCAGACAGCGGCCAAATGTGAAAGAGAAGCCATCAGCTGGTTGGTGTCTGTGCTTGAGGTAGAACAAAGAAACCGTTATTCTTGGGCTGAATTAAAACATCCTCCTATGAGCATTGACTACACAACGTTTGTCATAATTATTTTCACCATGTTCAACTTTGATTTAAAAAAGCTTTCGTTGCTGCCTCCTTCACTGTAGCTTACAGCAACATCCTGTCCCTGACTAGATTTTGCCATGCAAATTAAAACAATTGTTGAGATTTCTTAATTCCTGCAAATTAAGCGAAGCAAAATTTTGCCTGCTTCAAAATTTGCCCTAATTGTTCTGCGTTTATACCCCAATCAACACAGTTCTGTGTGTAGTTGGCAACTGAAATTCAATCCGATTTAAATTAATAAATTTTCTTACATTCCAGGAATTCTCTTTTTTAGTATACCTTTGAAATGGGTATTAAATTTAATTAAGTGGTCTTAAAATGGTCTTACAAAGTCTTAAACGTAACATTTGAAAACTTATAAGAACCCTTCAATAAGATTAAAGCCTTAATTTCACAGAGTTCATTGTGTTTTATTTTACGCTTTGTTTTTCTTTCCCTCTAGTGTGCTGTGAAGCTGGCCAAGATGGTCGGTTATGTCAGTGCAGGTACTGTAGAATACCTCTACAGCCAGGATGACAGTTTTTACTTCCTGGAGCTCAACCCCCGTCTGCAGGTGGAACACCCCTGTACTGAAATGGTGGCTGATGTCAACTTGCCTGCTGCTCAAATGCAGGTCAGTCTGTCTTACAAGTCCATTGCATTCTTCCTCACTGTCACAGCTGTGATGGGGCCCCCTGTTTCCTGGGACACCATCTGCAAAAAACAAGGACAAATTGCGGTATTCCAGGGGTTGTAGTTTCATTAGGTCCCGAGGTCTGTTTTGCAGCAGTTTTAGGATTGTGCATAAATGGGTCAGAGGCAGTGAAGCCTAAAGGCTGGGAAAGCTTTATAGTCGAGCTGATTGGGTGTCGATGTGGGAGGCTCAGTGATCACACTCGCTGGCAAATGTAATATGCAGAGGATAACCTCATGCATACTTCACATGCAAATACATACAGGATGCTCTACTCTGCAAAAGTATTCATGCATTTTAAATTGGTCATATCACCACAACAAACTTTAATTGACTTTATTTAGGTTCTATGTGAGGCAGAAACACAACCTAGGGTATAGTTGTGTATCTATGGGCTTCTATTTGCTTGCTTCCAATTAGCCTCAATTTGCCAAATGTGGGACTATAAAGTCTTTTCCAGCAGCTAACACGCATTTTCCAGGATTTCCTTATATTAAAAATGTCCAGTGTGTTATTGAGTTATTGTTTTTTTTATTAAATTAAAGCAAAACATCAATCTGAAAGGAGAAAATAATTTTTAAATAAATGTATTTGAGAGAAAAAAATTCACACTGATGGCAAAAGCTTATGTTATTTTAGACCATAGAAAGGTTCAGAGAGAAAATATTTTGCTATTTAATAAATATTAGGAAATTATTTCCAAGCGAAAATAGCTCTCAAAGAGTATATATTCTTACTCTTAATGATTTTTTTTTTTTTTTTTTGCAATCGGAGTGACGCTTTTTTTCTTCTTCTCAAAAATAGGTTTCGCTCTGCAAACTTGTATATTCTTTGCTCTTGATTCAGGATTTTTTCTCTCGGTGTGAAAATGTGTCATTGGCAGGCCTGTGTTCCTATTGGCCAGTCTCAACAGAATTGACAGCTGAGTGGTGATATTAGGTGCGTTAGAGATGAACACCACCTCACCTGGAATGTGGATAAAAGGTTACGGCTGTGTTGATTGACGGGGTTAAATGTCTGTTGGACAGGCTGTCGGCACCTGAACCAGAATGCTGGAATCTAGGGCTGAAACGATTCATCGAGTAACTCGAGTAACTCGATTACAAAAAATCCTCGAGGAAATTTATCTGCCTCGAAGCTTCGCTAAATTTATTGTATTGTAATAAGCAATGCTGTTAAATACGCAGCACACTGGTCTAGCCGGAGGGTTTCTGTGTTGCACAACGCTACCACTTCCGTTAGCGCCTGGCGCGCTTGTGCTAAGTTTGTAGCTATGGAGGGAACCGGAGAAAGCTCAGAAGGAGAACCCCGAAAGCGACAAAAAATGTCCAAAGTTTGGGAACATTTTAGGCTAAACAGAAAGGACAACACAGCGCAATGCATCCACTGCAAAGCAGAATTGGCGTACCACAACAGCACGACATCAATGTTGCAGCATCTGAAGAGAAAACACCCGCTACATGCATCCAACTCGTACACGGTTGCCAACAGGTAACGTTTATGTTCTCTTTGCTAACTACGTTGTGTGATAATCTGCCATGTTATAGATGTAAATTGAGGCACATTATTTTGCTAACGTTACATCTAAACATAGCGGTTACTTAACCGGGTGTAGTGTAAATTGTATGTGAGGGTGGAACTGAGAGAAATTATGCAGGACTTAATGTAAGTTTGTTAATAAAAATACGCAGCAACAGATTACAGCCATAAGCTGAAAAGCATTTATTTATTGGTGTCTTTCCATCCTGAAAAGTTACAGTCTTTTCTTTTCGCTACTGTTATGTATGAATTAGACATTTTTGATTAATATTTTTTGTAGTAATTCTATATTTGTTTATACCTAAGCAATCAAGAATAAATAATAGCATCGTTTTAATAAAAATAGCAACATTTTTGCATTTTATCATGACTAGTTAAGGCTGCAGAACTCTGTACAAACTCAAACCTTTACATTTAGACATTTTTATAAGCATATTTATGAGCCTGCCACTTTATTATTTGAATATAATTTAATATCTTATAACTTTTCTTCAGGTTAAAGCAAACTACTGTTACAAGTAAACTTTCTAAACTACAAACATTTAACTGTTAGGGATGCTCAAAAAGGAGATATTGGACTGATCTGGACTAACTGGTGTTATTGCAGATTTGCCAGTAGTTTATTTTATAAATTTTTTTTATCCGATTACTCGATTAATCGTAAGAATAATCGATAGATTACTCGATTACTAAAATATTCGTTTACAACAGCCCTACTGGAATCACTTGTGTTATGCAAATTATTGGCGGAAAATTTACATTACAACGCTTAGAAACTCAATACAGCCTTAAGTTCTCGTCCATATTCAAGGCGAGGTGCTGTTTAAGTCGAACGCACCTACTAATGGAGTCAGGAAGTCTGGGCAATGAAAGTTTTCTTGCAGACCACCTTTGCACCTGACATCACAACTCTGCCGTCAATTCTGTTGAGGCTGGCCAATAGGAACGCAGGTCGGCCTGAAGCACAATTTTCACATTGAGATAAAAATCCTGAATTGACAGCAAAGATTGAGGTTTTGAAATAGTGAAGAAAAAGTTTTGAGAGGGAAATTTATTATTTAAAGCAAATGTTTTCCCTCAGATTGCAAAAAAAAAAGAATATTTGAGAATAAAATGATATATTTTTTAGAAGCTTTTTTTTACCCTTGCAAATAATGTGTATCTTTTATTCATTCTATGACAAGAACCTTTTCGTCAGTCTCAAATAACATAGGTTTCTGCTCTCGGTGTGAACATTTGGTTTTTCTATTATATTTACTTTACTTTAAAATTTGTTTTCCCAATTCAGATCGCAAACTCTGTATTTTGACAGATATCAATATTTGTGACTTTCTGCTTTTACCTACATCAAAATTGCAGTTTTATTTTAAATTTTCATACGCTTTAACTACAAGAAACACATATGCTCAATAGATGTACATGTTTGTAGATCAGGCCTAATTAAAACAAGAAATTGAACAGTTTTCATAACTGAGAATAGCTTGCAGATTAGAACATTTAGATTAGATTAGATTAAACTTTATTGTCATTACACAGGTACAGGTACAAGGCAACGAAATGCAGTTTAGGTCTAACAAGAAGTGCAATAGCAACAAGTGCAGGATACGTAATGGTTCCATAAATATAGGATATGGGTTTCTACTGAATGAGTATAGAGATGAATACCATTATAAATAATGAATATAATATATAGATCACTAGTGTTATGAACTAAATTTACAGCTGGATATTTACCGAATATAATATAAAGGTGGATATTACTGTACTATAAAAAGGGTTTTTACAGCTATGTACAATAGCATATATATACAGATGGGTTTTACTATGAAATGAATAAATAAAGTTTGGACAGAAGCTATCTAAATTAAAGTGCAGTGGAAGGTAATTGCATATTACAGTTAAAGTACGTTATTACAAATGTATATGTAAACAATTGGTACTGTGAATAAACGAGGAGCATCAGTCCGTGTTAAACATAAAGTAAAGTGTACACTTTATTTACTTAATTTATTGGGCAAATACTGAATCTTTACCCTCAATTTACACTTTCACAACGTGAATATTTACTGCCGTGTTGCCTCTTGCTGCGTCATCCTTCAAAAATAGAATTTAATAGAGTTATGCCGGTTTTTGCAGTTCGGGGTTATGGTAATGATAATAGCCTAAACCGCACACGGGGGCCTTTCTTAAAATCGAAATATTACCAAACAACAAAGGAACCTCCAGGCTTCCCTTGTTTTCATGGCCTTGAAAGCACTTTTATACATTGTTGCAGGTATTTTTTTACCTGCATGCATTGATCTGCAGACCAACTGCAACTTTTTACCCTCTGTGGTGGCAGGCTCATTTTAAGTATAATACTACTGCCTTAATCACTGGAGCGAGAAATTATACACCTAATTGTAACATGGTTGAAACTTTGAATGCCTCTGCAATATGGAAATTGTGATTTATTTATTTATTTTTTCAAAATTGTATGGAAAATGCAATTAATCATCCAGCCTTTAGTTTTGTTTAGCTTAGTTTATCTTCTTTTAACTTAGACCAGTGTACCTGTCCCTGCTGAAGAAAAGCATTTAAACAGTATGATTTTGCTTTATGCAGTTTTTGTATCAAAAATATTGGTTTGTTTTTTTAAATATCTTTTAATAACTCAGAACATTGGATTTATACCACAATCAAAGCGCAGATAGTTTGACTACTTTGGCTATGTTCACACAGCAGCCTGAAGTGACCCGAATCCGATTTCTTTCTGCCTATATGTAACCTGTATCTGACCTTTTCATGACAGTCTAAACAATTCAGATCGAAATTTTTTCCATTGCGACCCAGGCCACTTGGCTATGTGGTCCTGAATCCGACACAAATCTGATCTTTTCAAATGCCACCTGTATCTGAGTAGCCAGGTCGCATTAATCCAACCTGTATGCCATTAATACCCAACAAAGGTAATTATTCTGCCTCTTGCTACGCAAAAGCGGCAAGAAAAACAACAACCATGGCGGACGATGATGCGGAAAGTAGTATTTATGTTTACCATATTGAAAAGATTGCGTTTTTAAGGTGACGTCATTACGTCCTCTACTGACATGCCACACACTTGCGTTGTATAAATGCCGTTCACACTGGAGATCTCTTACACATCACATATATTTGTAAGCGTGAGCAGCAAGCCAAAAAAAACAGGATTTCACACAAAAAATTGGAATTGAGCATCAAGGCCTGCAGTGTGAACGTAGCTAAAGTTTTCTGTCTGCACTGCATTTGATTGAAACATTTTGTAAAATATTATTATTTTTTGTTATTCATTTATCTGTTTTGAAATTAAGTTGGGTTTGCTCATGTAAAAAAGACCAAGGAGTATTGAAAGTTATGCAAGGATGTCAATTTGGGTATTGAACATTAACGTAATGTTTTTCCAATATTTCTAATCAGATTGCGATGGGTATTCCTCTTTATCGGATCAAAGACATCCGGATGCTTTATGGGGTCCAGCCTTGGGGAGATACTCCCATTGACTTTGAGTCCCTGTCAAACACACCCTCCCCACGCGGGCATGTCATCGCAGCACGCATCACCAGTGAAAACCCAGATGAGGTACCATTCCATCTCTGTTCCTACACCACATAGCTGCTGCTTCATGTTCTGTTGCTTTTCATTTGTGAGCGTTTTTTTTTTCCTTTTGAAGATAAAAAACGGTGTCTGGCTATATCTTTGCAGGGCTTCAAGCCAAGCTCCGGAACGGTGCAAGAACTGAATTTCCGAAGCAATAAAAATGTCTGGGGTTACTTCAGTGTTGCTGCAGCAGGAGGCCTGCACGAGTTTGCGGACTCTCAGTTTGGGCACTGTTTCTCTTGGGGGGAGAATCGTGAGGAAGCCATCTCGTGAGTGAACTTTAAAGCAAATTCTAAAACACTACATCTCCAAACATGAACTATGCAATCAAATTAATTAGTCTATTATTAATAGCATGAATATAAAACTGAGAATACTGGAATTTATTAAATGGAATGTATTTCCACAGAGTCTATATGGCTTAGTGAGAAATGTTATCCGAATGTGAACAGAAATAAATGTCTTTAGAAGTTGTCCAAATTTTGAAAGGTCATAATGGTTTTGGTGCCTTTACAGATAGTACAGGACCACATTATTACAAAGCCTGTACTATACATAATCTGAGGTGTTTTTGCATTCATTCATTCTGTATTATTAGCCAAACCCATTACCGGTGTGATGCCTAAACTCAATTTCGGTTTCATCTGAACAGTCAGATCCAGTAAAAGTCCAAGCAGTAATCTAACTGACACAAAAAATATAAATGTAGATAGGTCTGTTTGAAGGAAGTTTTTTTATTACCATTTTCTTTTTCCAGCAACATGGTGGTTGCTCTCAAGGAACTGTCTATCAGAGGAGACTTTCGAACCACAGTGGAATACCTGATTAAGCTGCTGGAGACTGAAAGCTTTCAGCATAACAGCATCGACACAGGCTGGCTGGATCGTCTTATTGCGGAGAAGATGCAGGTATACAGCTGTAGCCACCTAGTGGCCTTCTAGAGAACAGTTCTAGAATGAAATCACAGCACTGCAACATGAGCTCATGTCAATAGTGTATTTAAATGCAAAATCTACAAAGCAAAAGGTTTGCACACAGCTTTAACTGAATAAGGTTTTTGCGGCTGAGGAGTAAAAAGACTTGTTTGCAGGCTGAGCGTCCTGACACCATGCTTGGAATTGTGAGTGGAGCTCTGCATGTCGCAGATGTCAATCTAAGAAACAGTGTTTCCAACTTTCTTCATTCCCTAGAAAGGTACCTTTTGAAGCTAAACTCTCTTTTTAGAAGTTAAACATTATTTTGGGGGAAAAAAAACTTAAGCCTTTTTACTCTTTAATCAGGGGGCAGGTGCTACCAGCGCATACACTACAGAACACGGTGGATGTGGAGCTGATCTACGAAGGCACAAAGTATGTCCTGAAAGTGACACGGCAATCTCCCAACTCGTATGTGGTGATCATGAACAGCTCATTGGCCGAGGTGGATGTTCATCGCCTGAGTGATGGGGGCCTCTTGCTGTCATATGACGGAAGCAGCTACACTACATACATGAAGGAAGAGGTGGATAGGTAAGACTCACAAAGGCTTTATAATTTCAGTATATTTTAGCTTGTAAAACATTAAAGAATGAATTGCTGCGCTCTAGTTTAAAACCACAGCATGCCGTATTTGAATTTAAAATCTGATATCTGTTAACACCATTCTAATGAATTTATGCTACCTAGGTATCGAATCACAATTGGGAACAAAACGTGTGTTTTTGAAAAGGAGAACGATCCCTCGCTGCTGCGATCTCCCTCAGCTGGGAAACTCATTCAGTACACAGTTGAGGATGGTGGACATGTGTTTGCTGGACAGTGCTTTGCAGAAATAGAGGTACAGTGTCTATTCAGAGCTTTAACGAATCAAGAAGGTTGACCCAGTTACAAGTTTTGAATGTTTATGTGGATATCAGGTGATGAAGATGGTCATGACCCTCACTGCCGCAGAGTCGGGATGTATTCACTATGTGAAAAGAGCCGGAGCAGCTCTGGAACCTGGCTGTGTCATTGCCAAACTGCAGCTGGATGACCCAAGCAGAGTGCAACAGGTTAGACTGAAGCATTATACCCGTGCCTGTAATTTGTTTTCCAAAAAACACCAAATACATCTGTCTAGCTGTGAATAATGTGTTTTTTTTCTAATTAAGTCATCTATGAAAAATTGCCCTCTTGAAAGAGTGCAGATTAATACTCAGCTGCAGATTGAGGGCATTATACATTGGTTGTTAGGGCGTTGACACATCACTTGAGATTCAGAGCATCGGTGAGGCAGGAAATCGATGCTGCCAACGAAGATGACAGCTCCATTATCTGATAAAAAGAGATGTCTCACTGCTTCAATGTCTAAACACCCAAATATGTCAACATGGGTTTAGAAAAATGGAAGGCAAATCTGACTGTGGCTAATTGTATGTTTATGATGGTTAGCCAGCAATTAACAGGAAAGTATTAAATGGGCTTTAATTTTTTCAGTCAGATATTTCCATCTCTCTCTAAGATCAAAATCTTTAACCTCACCTCTAACAAAGGTTTTCTTTTGATTATGTTATAGGTCCTAAACAGACATGTGTTGGTTTAAGATTTCAGGCTTAAGTAAACGTAACATACTAACTTAATTGCACAAAAAATTAAAGCATTATTGAACCCCTTTTGTCATAGTTATCTTGAAAGAATGACAAGGGGATATTGAAATAACTATTTAGTGAGTGTATTAATATGATCAGCCATCTTTGTAAGTATGGTAAGTCTGTATCCTGCAGCTTGTTAACGCTTTTATTAAAACCTCTTTTTCAAAAGTGATCAGATTTGCTTGTTTAGTGTTCTCACCAGGATTTTTTGTGGTGTTCTCAATCAATGTTAATTAGCCTAGTGTTTAAGCAAGTGTATTGTGCATATTTTAGCCAGCTGACTGACAGTGCACCACAAGAGCTTTGGAGAAAGGTCCTGCCGAGTTAATCCACATGCTAGATAACCGGTAGAAAATCGGCCTTTTATTCAAAGTCCCCCTCCAATGGTTTCCATGCACCCCTTGGACAAACTTTGTCATTTGTATTATTTTTTGTGTTAAATGAAAGGGAGAAACAAAACCATCAAACCAGATTTCAAACTCGTCGTCTGCTGCCTTATCCGGGACCGCGAGGGCAGCACTCTCTGCAGAGACTCCCAGACTTCCCTCTCCCCAGACACCTCCTTCAGCTCTGCTGGGAGAAGCCCATGGTGCTGCCAGGCCAACTAAGAAACATAGTCCCTCCAGCGTGTCACAAGGGAGGGGTCCAGGGGGCATCTTAAAAAGATGTCTGACCCACGTCAGCTGACTTCCTTTCAGTGTGGAGGAGAAGCGGCTCAACTCCAAGCATCTCGTGGATGACCAAGCTCCTCCCCCTGTCTCTAAGGGAGAGCCCAGCCACCCTGCGGAAAAAACTAATTTTTGCCGTTTGGATCTGGGATCTCGTTCTTTCAGTCATGATCCAGACTTTATGACCATAGCTGAGGGTAGGAGCATAGACTTACCGGTAAATTGAAAGCTTTGCCTTTTCATTTGGCTCTCTTCACCATGACAGACCAGTGCAGCGTCTGCATTATAGGAGCAGAACCACCGATCCATCAATCGATTTCCCACTCCATTCTCCCCTGATGCGTGAACAGGACCCCAAGATACCTTTACTCCTCCATTTGAGGAAGCTCACTTCAAACCTGAAGGGGATAAGCCACCTTTTTCCAGTTGACAACCATGGCCTTGGATTTCGAGGAGTTGATTCTCAGCCCTGCCGCTTCACACGCTGCTGCAAACCGCCCCCAGTGAATGCTGTAGATCTTGGCAGTAGGGTGCCAGCAGAGCAACATCATCTGCAAAAAGCAGGGATGAGATCCGCTCGTCCCCCACACCCAATCCTATCCATAAAGTTAATGAACAGGATCGGTGACAGAGGGCAGTCCTGTCTGAGTCCAAAATGCACCGGGAACAAGTCTGAAATAATACTGGCTATGTGGACTAAACACCTGCTCCACTTGTATAGGGACCAGATAGCCCCAGTACGGAGTCCCCTACTCCTGAAGCAACCCCCTCAGGGCACCACAAGTTACACGGTTTAATTCCTTCTCCAGCTCCACAAAACCCATGTGGACACACAAGCATGATTGAGAATCCTGCGTTAAGTGTGGAGCTGGTCAGCTGTTCCATTTCCAGAACGAAAACCACACATGCTTTCCCTAAAGCTGAAGTTCATCAGTCAGCCAGACTATCCTCTCTAGGACCCTGGCATAGGCTTTCCCAGGGAGGCTGAGAAGTGTGGATGGCCTTATAGTTGGAACACCCCCTCCAATGCCCCTTCTCATGCAGTGGAACCAAAACCCTGGTCTCCCAATCCAGGGGTACAACATCCACGAGATGTTGATGAGGCGTGTCAGCCACAACGCTGCAGCACACTTCTGCTCGTTCGCAGAGCTCACACTTATATTTGTTAGGGGTTTTTTTTGTTTATTTTATTTGTTTTTTGTTTGTTCTTTTACTTTTACCTGGAGTTGACAGAGTTGAGCTGGATCCCAGATGCTTCTGAGTATTCATAAAATCCCTTTGAATATAACGCTTTGATGGCTTGCTAGGTTGGACGCATTTAAAATGTATCAATTGAAGTCGCATGCACAAAACAGCAAACTTCCGACCACAAATGCATTGCCCAGAACTGCTGAGATGTGGATTTGCTCATCAGTGTTTTATTCGTGAAGGGTCAAATAAGAAGGCTATTTTAAAGATATTGTTCTGTAAAAACTTACTAAATCCATCCCTAAACTCTTTGACCAATCTTGGTTAGAACCTTCAGATAAATCTAGGAGGGCTGTAATATAAAATAACAATAATTATATAAATCCAAAATGATTTTTTTTTTTTTTTTTTTTTTTTACAGTTTTTATGAAGAACCAACCAGGGTTGTTGAAATTATTAACCAGTTAATTTAGAATTCTTGATCTACCCGGAATGTCCCATTTTTTTATGATGTATGTTTAAACCAACAGGCGGAGCTGTACACAGGAGCACTTCCTTTAGCCCAGACCGTAGCCCTGAGGGGTGAGAAGCTGCATAGAGTATTCCACAGTACTCTGGACCATCTCGTTCACATAATGAACGGCTACTGCCTTCCTGAGCCTTTCTTCAGTGCTAAAGTAAATATTTGGTATTTACAAGTAACGCTCATATATGCGCTGAAAATGGTAGGTGCTAATAAAAAGGTGCTTTGTGTGTCTCCTAGCTGAAAGAGTGGGTGGAAAGGCTCATGAAAACCATGCGTGATCCATCCTTACCCCTTCTTGAACTTCAGGACATCATGACTAGCGTTTCAGGTCGGATCCCCCCTGCTGTAGAGAAGGCCATTAAAAAGGAGATGGCTCAGTACGCCAGCAACATAACATCTGTGCTCTGCCAGTTCCCCAGCCAGCAGGTGCACCACTAACACATCTCACCAAACCTAGCAATGCACACATTGTTTTTTTTGTAGTTATTTAAGATAGGGAATTAATTAACATATTAATATACTCCTTTCTTTTTAGATTGCAAATATCCTGGATAGCCATGCTGCTACTCTCAACAAGAAATCAGAGAGAGAAGTGTTCTTCATGAACACTCAAAGCATTGTCCAACTGGTGCAGAAGTAAGCCTCATGTACCTCAGCTCTATATTCATTCTATTGGTGTAACTGGTGCTGATTCTTAACAGTTTCCCCTCCGTACGTCTTTGTTCGTCTCCATCAGGTATCGCAGCGGCATCCGAGGCCACATGAAGGCAGTGGTGATGGACTTACTCAGACAGTACCTTAAAGTAGAGATCCAGTTCCAGAATGGTGAGATGACTTAACACTCGAATTAATCAGATGCTCTCCGACTTGGTTTGATCAAATGTATCCCTTTGCATTGGTTTCATTGCAGGCCACTATGACAAGTGTGTGTTTGCACTCAGAGAAGAAAACAAAGGGGACATGGTCAATGTTGTGAACTACATTTTCTCCCATGCACAAGTCACTAAGAAGAACCTGCTGGTTACTATGCTGATTGTAAGTGTCCAGCTTCCTGGAAAAAGATTGTTCTTATTTTGCTTTTTTTTTTTTTTTTGCCCTCACCAGTAAAGATGTACGTAACATTTTAAAGCAATTTCCTCTTCTACTGCAGTTTCAAAAAACTATAGTAATAACGTAACCTTTTATTTAACTTTTTTTTATTCTGTATTGAACATCATGGTGTCAATTAAAAAGAGCTTTTTAAAAGAGAGGTTCACATTACAGGTCCTCGTCATATTTATCTGTGGACATTAAGTGGGTTTCCAAATAAACCTTGGTCTCGTATACCAGGATCCCACTGTTGTAGTTTAATGCTTCAGTAGACTTTAGCAAAGTCCACATGTTAAAGCCTCTGACAGTAATACATAAGACTTTTTCCTAATTTCACCCTCAAGAGAACCAGTTAGCATGTAGGTAATATCGCATGGTTGTTATGGAGACCCGATGACCTAAAATACTACTATTTTTTCCCTGTAGTCCTCCCCATTCTGTTCACTGTGTATGGTTGAGGATAATAGATTCTGACCCAACCTTTGTTAATGAGAAGTTGACCTACATTTTATCTAACGTTTAGAACCTCGGGAAACAGCCTCCTAACTTGATTTTTTTTTTTTTTTCCAAGCCAAAAAGACTAAGTATGTAGTTCAAATTTATTTAAAGATGATTGTTACTGTAGGGATATCACTAGATTTTGAAGCAACGGTTATTATTAACAGTTATTTCATTGTAATCAAAATCCTTTTCTTTCCATTATTCCATTATTGTTTGCCAATTATGTTACAGATAGCTTTAGTCCAAATTATTCTACAGCAGTAGATTATTTACTATTTGTGTTGCAACTAAAAGGATGATAGATGCATAATCTATTTAATTGCCCTTTTTTATGTGTTGATTTTCTGAAAGAAAAAAAATAAATGTTGTAGTTGCGATACTTTGTTAATGCACTCTCTTGAAGTTTAACTAATTAAAGATTTGGTGAGCTAGAGATGTACATTTTCTATATCATAAATACTGATCTTTTTTTATTTTAATGCTGTGTTTTTAGGACCAGCTATGTGGCCGTGATCCCACACTGACAGATGAACTGATGACCATTTTGACTGAGCTCACACAGCTCAGCAAGACTACCAATGCCAAGGTGGCTCTGCGTGCTCGGCAGGTAAGACGTGATCTTTAACTCCTTTTCAACAACACAAAGAATTTCCAATGTCATTATAAGGAATTGAATGCGCATATGAAGAAGAAACAGAACTTTCACATCTCTGCTGAGTTTTAAATTCAATAAATCAAGTGAACATTAGATTTATTCATAACTTCACCACCAGATGTCGCTTAAAGCCTACACCAGCAGCAGCCTCTAGGTAGTGACAGGAGCTTTTAATGAGTATGAATTTAGACAAAGATGGATAATTACATGCCTCACACGCTATAGCTGCAGACACATTCTGGAGTTAAAACTGCATGAAGGTATACCCTGTTGCAAGATGTCATATGATAAGTAAAGAGGTATTGTGTTCTGTCACATGCCTGAAGGACCCCATTAATCTTGCTCACCCAGGTTCTGATAGCATCCCACCTCCCTTCCTATGAGCTACGACACAACCAGGTGGAGTCCATCTTCCTGTCTGCTATCGATATGTACGGGCACCAGTTCTGCATTGAGAACCTGCAGGTAGCAAACAAATAGTTGAGTTGCATATTTCATTACTACTCCAACATATAGGTCAGATGTGTAACCATGGGATTTTCCTCTGTAGAAACTCATCCTTTCGGAGACGTCCATCTTTGATGTCCTGCCCAACTTTTTCTACCACAGTAATCAGGTGGTCAGGATGGCTGCTCTTGAGGTGAGATGAACAATGATCTCAATCTAGCACCATCTTGTCACACTTGCAGGTGCCTCACATACATGTTCTCTGTGGCTTTGTCTTTAATAAACTCAGGTGTACGTGAGGAGAGCATACATCGCTTATGAACTGAACAGTGTGCAGCATCGACAGCTGAAGGACAACACATGTGTTGTAGAATTCCAATTCATGCTTCCCTCCTCACACCCCAACAGGTAACATGTCTGTGCCTCTATTAAGGCAGTGTGGAGTTTTTTTTCATTTAGTGGGGACTTCTTCGATAGAAAACAGCCAGCATTTTAGTAGCTCGAGTATGAATTTGGTCATAACATGATTTGTCTCTAGCCAGGGGTTTTACTACCTTTAACATATGTTCTTAGTCTTGCAAGAAAATAAGCTACATAGATCTTCAGTGATGATTCCCTTTCCCTGTTGTATAGGACAATTCCCAGAGCATAATGCTGCCATTACCAAGTTAGGTTTAAACCCCATATGTCCTATTTTAAGTTTACATGTAAAGATGAAATCACACTGTTTGTTGTGTTGTTTTTTTATTTTGTTAATAATTGTTAATGTGACTTTTTTAAGCTCTGGGTTGTTTTGAATTTTATTAAGGAGATTTAAGTGAAAAGCAACTACATGCTACGATTTTAGAATTTGTTTGGTTTTTGCAAAGCTCTTGTGCTTTATCGTCACCTTCATATTTTCAGTTATTTTCTGTAGTTCTATGATGTGAAATTGCAACAGAATATTTTGCAGTTTATGGTTTTTGATTTTACAAAAATGGAAAAATGAAGTTGGAATACTTTCGGAACACTTTTTATATTTTGCCCTTTAGAGAAGTAACCCCAATATAATCATTGATTTATCCTTATGCCATTTATGATGAACTATATCCATTCATATAGTTGCGAATTGTGAAATCTGAAATGATTTCACAATTCACATATCATTTAAGTTAAAACTATTATTATTATTATTATTATTATTATTATTATTATTATTATTATTATTATTATTATTATTATTATTATATTTAAACTTTAATAAAAGGGCCAGAAAAAAAACAGACAAAAATGTTTGATTTGCAGGCTATTGGATTTGCAGGATTTTTGGTGCAGTTTCCTTGCTCCTATCCCTCCTTGATGTTTTAAATTTTTTGCATTTTATTTCACCTTTTTATATCTGTAGAATCTTTCTAGTGCCATTGTATTCTCATTCTAGTGCATGCAATTTTTTGACATAGCTGAATTAACATTTGACACATTGTTCGAACAACAAAACAGCATGAAAGAGACCCTCTCTGTCATTCAAGCAGGTTTGGAGGACTGCTCCTTTGTGCTGGTTGTATACAAAGGAGCAATTTAGAAGTGGGATTGGTATTTCTCTTGTTCATTCACTTTATCCTCTCTTCTTAGTTAGCATTTAAAAAAAAAAAAAAAACTAAACACATAGTGATATTCCCACACACAGTGCTCCACCTTGCCTGCTTTCTTCATCTGCTGCTGCTTGATACTAACCATGTAGTAATCAATGTTGTTTGATTGCAGAGGGAACATCCCAACTCTCAACAGGTATTGTACATATTCTTTTATTGCATGAAATAATCATTGTAGCTAGCTAGCAGCAAGATGAAGTTGAAATAATATTGCTCCTCAACATAGTCTGGAAATTTCCTCAAAGTAATTCTAACAAAGAAGCTTGAATCTAGTTCTATCTTTTAGAACTGACTAACAACAGCTACAATGTAATATGAATGCTAATATTTAGTTTGGTTATGTTTGTTACAAATATACTTTTTCTTCCAAACTGTTGTGCAAATCCTTTTGATGGTTCATGTTCAATAGCTAAAGCTGCAATGGGAGAAATGACAAATGCCACTAAGTATATCCAGTACTGAAACCTTTAACTACCTTGTCAGGAAAATTGCCACCCCCATCCTGGGCTATGGCATCAACTTGGATGCTAAAGTACAGGAACCCAAACCCCGGGAGCTTAAAACCCAAGATAATGAAGCTAAGGATGAGAATGCAGAGAAGAAAAATTCCAAAGATTTGGAATCTGAAGACAGGTTGGACTCAAAAACCTTTACGGTGGTCGCAGTGGGTGCAACTTCTGGGATACTATCTCTTTGCCAACTGACTAACACCCAAACATTCGAGGAAAACAATCTAAAGGGTTTTTTTTGGTGGATCTAGTGTTCATTGCTCACCTGAAAAATATTTTGTTTCACTGTAACTTACACATTATGTATTGGTTACAATAATTATAATACAAATCATTGCTTTTATAAATTAACTCAGTTTTAATCTCTCAAGTCTCTAATATCTGACCAGATACCTTCTTCTGCTGTAATAAAAAATTTATCAAAGATGCACCAATCAAAATGCTATCACCAGTTTTAGTCATCTAGTTTTTATAGAGTTGACTTGCAGATATCAGCTGTAGAGAGTACTGGTGTTCTTTTTTTAAAAGCTGAACCACGGAAATGTATGAAAACTCAATTAAGATTTAATAATTGTTTACATTAAAATCAGAGGTTATATCTTACAACCTGAAAAGGGAACGGTGTTTTACAATTGTTTTAAAACAAAGACAAAATAATGATTAACTCTTGAAACTTGGTGTCATATATAAGCAGTTGGCAGGGCTGGCATATTAACAGAAAATTTCCATGCATACATTCCAAAGCCAGCCTTTTTTAACCAGCTGGGGTAAAAATCTTGGCGGCATAAATCAGATCAACTTTGCCCAACCTCTTTCAGCCTTCCTGTTATCTGCAGAACAACTTGCTCTCTCTCGATCTCTATTTTGTAGAAAACTCCTCTGAATTCAGTAAAAGTGTTAATTGAAGAATGCTGTTCGTTGCAGCACTCTTCAGTTTGTTGCAGCGTTTGGTGAACTTAACTGAAAAAAAATATAGGACTTGAGGGTTCCCACTACTCAATGGCAGCTTTTCTGATTCCATTCAGCAGTGGATTTCTTGGTGCATCTCCAAAATTATTCTGAGTTGGTGTACGAACTGGCGGAAGACTGAGGGATAAAAATTGATTAGTTTTGTTGTGTTTGTTTTTTGTATGTGGTGGAGTGGGTTAATGCTTAAAGACAGTTTTGCTAAAGAGGCGATTTCTTCTCACAATTGATTTTTTTTGTCTACATATTAGGATGTCCTTCTCATCCAACCTCAATCACTATGGGATGATGCATGTAGCCAGTGTAAGCGACGTCCTGCTTGACACATCTTTTACACCACCCTGTCAACGTATGGGAGCCATGGTTTCTTTCCGTTCCTTCCAAGAGTTTACAAGGTCAGTTCCTCTTTTTTTTGGTACACATTTCATCTTTTGTTTTATTTTCAGGGTAGTTTTTGTCTATTAATTTAATTCAGATTTTAATGGTATAGAATTTTAAGTGTTTGTTATAAAGATTTGATACATTTTTTTTTATTTTATTTGATCTTCTCACAGGAACATTAATGATGTCCTGAGCTGCTTCTCTGACTCTCCACCTGCAAGTCCAATGTTCCCTGATGGAGGCAACCCTGTCCTGTATGGTGAAGAGGACAACAAGGTGATGAAAAGGAAAAGAAAATCAGTTTAGGATTATAACTGGCTTATATGTTTGTTTAACCTAAAACAAGTGTTACTTACTTTATCGTACAGAGCGTTCAGGACGAGCCAATCCACATTCTGAATGTGGCCATAAAGACAGACAGTGACATTGATGATGATGGCCTGGCAGCCATGTTTCTGGAGTTCACTCAATCCAACGTGAGATTATTTAAAAATAAAGCCTTTGTCTCTTATTCAAAAGAAACATCTAAAATGCACATGAAAGATCATAAAGTGCTAAAGTTGGCATTTGTTTTTCCCAGAAATCATTGCTGTTTGAACATGGCATCCGAAGACTGACATTCCTTGTTGCACAGAAGGTGAGTTCGGTTTAACATTTACTCCAAGAACACTGCCTCCTACTTTGCATGTCACCAATTGAGCAGTTCTAAATAGGCATGACGCAGAATATAACAAATGTACCACAAAGTCTTGCATGTTTCTTTCAGTAATTAATATTTGAAGTAAAATCTAATTGAACTACATTGCTGTGAAATTTACACTAATAATTTTAAATTAAGCTTATCTTCCCATTTCTTTCTCTGTTTCTTTCTGCATGCCTCGTTTTTGCTCATTTTTGATGGTAGGATTTCAGGAAACAAGTCAACTGTGAGGTGGACCAAAGGTTTCACGTAAGTATTTGGAGATGATTCAAGTCTGGTGTTCATTAACTGAGCAAAAGTTAGATGTTTTTAATTGTTTCCAATCAGCCTAATAAAGCACCTGATTAAATTACAGTGTTTTATAATAGAATCATACACCTTGAGGTTTTCCAGTTTCTGTCTCATTATAGCCACAAACTTCTTTGTGAGGGATTTCTTTCTTTTTTTCTTTTTTTTTTTGATAGACCAATAAAGTTCATAACCGTGCAGTGGAAGGGATTTAGTATGTGGTTCTTACACCCAGTTATGTTTCAGTTGGATTGGACAACCTTCTACCGTCTGTTTGCTGCAGCATGGCTTTTTGAAAACAAGGACTTCAGGAAGAGCTTTCCCATTGCCATTCTTCTTCCAATCTTAATCTAGATTATTGTACACAAGTAGCAGTTGTCCTGCTGACAGCTTCTCCCACTTGAGCTTTGCACCTATGCAGAAATTTTTGGATCCTTCAGACTGACAAATCTCCCCAATAGGTTATATTTGCACACCCCTTACTTCGCCAACAAGAAAAACAAATTGGGTTTAAACTACAAAAAATGTCCCTGTCTTCCAGCTCCACTATCATTTTCAACAATACCCTTTGATTTTTCTTTTTGTGGGGCTATAATGGGAGCCCAATCATGCTAACTGCCCTCCTGATACATGGAGGGTCTTTCACTAGTTTTCACCATTATGCAGCTCAGGGACTCACATTGTAAAATACTTCTTTTTTTTTCTATAAATATGTAATGCTAAGTGGAAGCGATGTTTAATCACAGTGCCAAATCATGTCTTTGGAGGTTTGCAGCTCTCTCATCATGGCGTCGGCTGTGAGTTGATAAGAGCATCTCCAATCTCCCCAGCATTGTTTTGGCAAGTGGGACACTTCATCTGATAACGTCAAACAGCGCTACCAGGCATTATTCAGAAGATCGCATGTCTCTGAGGAAAAAATATATTTTATTCATCAGCAGAGCAAGTGCTGCATGTATATGTAGCTTGTCAGTGCAGCAACGATAACTTGCTGCTTTTGTGAACACCCTGATTTTTTGACTGATAAATTATAGTAAGAAAACATCAATGCCGTGCATGGAGAACAGAATATGCAGCAGCTTTACTCATGGTGGAGCAGGAAAAGCTGAAACCATACTATGCTTTTTTGACTTTCTGCAAAGTTTATAGGTTTAAATGCTTAAAGGTCAACTGCAGAAGAATTTTTCATTCTTATAATGCATTTATTCATCTACATTTCATTCACAGAGAGAATTCCCCAAATTCTTCACATTCCGGGCAAGAGATAAGGTAGGAGTTGACCAAATAGACGCTTGTCCAACTTTTGCTAATTATCTTCTGTTGCTAACCTTAAACTGTTTAACATGCCTCTATTTCTATTATATAAATAAAAAAATAAAATAAAAAAAAGATTTACACCCCTCACCAATTCCTCAGCACTACTGAGTTTCATTCTCTATGAATCAGTAGTGGCTCCTCTTGTCCACCACGCCCGATAGTTTCTGTGCAACTGCACACCACTAAAACTCATTACAGTAATGAACTCTTTAATTATGTTCCCCATTTAAGAGAAATGACACCCATTAGCAGCTTCCTGAGATTAAGATTGTTCGGGATTTCATTTACTTAATACATTGTGTTGCTCCAAGGCGTCTCCCTACTCTTATATCAACTTGCTTCTAATATGTCCTCCTTCTACTGCTCCCAGTTGAAAGACAATTAGATAATATAACCAGAAAAAAATTATGTTTTGATGTGACTGGAAATAATCTTATTCAAAACTTATAACACTATCTCATCTGTCTTGTTTTGTTTTTTTTTCCTTAGTTTGAGGAGGACAGGATCTATCGGCACCTAGAGCCAGCTTTAGCGTTCCAGTTGGAGCTCAACCGCATGCGAAATTTTGCACTAACTGCCATTCCCTGTGCCAACCATAAGATGCACTTGTATTTGGGTGCAGCCCGTGTGGAGGTGGGGACAGAGGTCACTGACTATCGTTTCTTTGTTCGAGCAATTATCCGCCACTCTGATCTGGTCACAAAGGTAAGAAAATATAAAAATGCTATTAAAAAACATTTAAATAGCATCATTAAAATAATAGCTTTAAGAAGATGAAAAGTCTGCAAAATATTTTTGTAATTAGTCTAAGGATTAAACAGCAATTTTGCGATTATTCCTTCAGCTTCTCTGGTATCTACATCATTTGTAATGCATTAACTCAAGACAAGTCTGCAAAATCTTTTGTGCCCCCCTGACTTCATTAAGCATCTCTCTGAAGTAAACCGCTAACTGGTTTCTCACCATGTTACGCTTAATACAGCCAAAAAGCACCCAGTTCCACAGCAGGTTTTGCAGTGCACCTTTAACCATGAATGGTTATGTCTGTTTCTTTATGACCTTCATTAATACTGACCCATATTGGTATGTTTGTTTATAGGAAGCTTCCTTTGAATACCTTCACAATGAAGCAGAGCGTCTTCTGCTGGAAGCCATGGATGAACTGGAAGTGGCTTTTAACAACACAACCGTACGGACCGACTGTAACCACATCTTCCTCAACTTTGTCCCTACAGTCATCATGGATCCGTCAAAGGTTGGTAAAAAGTCCATCTCACAGAGATTATCATTATCCATAGTGAGTTTGGCTCTTAGTGATATGATTTTGTCCAAACATCAGATCGAGGAGTCTGTGCGGTCCATGGTGATGCGTTATGGCAGTCGTCTGTGGAAGCTCCGGGTCCTGCAAGCTGAACTGAAAATCAACATCCGCCTGACACCAACGGGAAAGCAGATTCCAATTCGCCTCTTCCTGACAAATGAGTCGGGCTACTACCTGGATATCAGCCTGTACAAGGAGGTCACTGACTCCCGAACGGGACAGGTGGGGCCCAAAGATCGACAGGTGGGGCACTCATCCATTTTCCATCCATCCTCTTTTTGTTTTCCTGTCTCAGGCGTCAGACGCCAAGTCCATTCTTAAAACCCATGTTTCTGGTCGCCTTCTGTAGCACTTTTTGATGATAGAATAATTTTTTTTTTTTTTTTAAAGAAAGGCAATTCTGATTGTCTTTTTTTATTTGATCTGGAAGGGATTAAGAATGGTTTGGTGCCTTTTGTCTGGTGGGCAGTTTTTTTTTTTTTGTTGCTTTTTTAAATGATGCTTCAGGCAGCAGATTAGGTAAGTATTGCCCTCATCCAGTCATTTAGCTCATAAACCTTCATCCATGTGATCCATCCATTGATATAATGTAGGTAAAAGAAAAAGGAAAAATGAAAGCAGACCTACATGAAACCATTACATCTTTTTTTGGTTTACATGGTATTTATTTATTTATTTTTTTTGCTTTCTGGGTGTTTTTGTTGCCCATTTCTCATTTCTCTAATAATTTGATTCACACTGGCTGAGATTCTATCAAATGTCTAAAGCTGCATCTCAATTTAGCTGTGAATCTGCTTTGTCACCTGTGTTGGGATATGTCATGCCCATCAGATGATTTATCGATTTATTTTCTACTTTTCCATTTAGATCCCAAACTTGAAGAAATGAAGTTAGTAAATGGACTCATTGTATAATTTGTCTTTCCAGATTATGTTCCAAGCATATGGTGACAAGCAAGGGCCCTTGCATGGCATGTTAATCAATACACCGTACGTGACAAAGGACCTGTTGCAGTCCAAGCGTTTCCAGGCACAATCTTTGGGCACCACATACGTCTACGACTTTCCAGAAATGTTCAGACAGGTATTTCACAGAAACACAATTCTTTGATTCCAGTATGGAATGTTGCACCTCTCATGACACTCATTGTTGACTTTTTTTTGTTGTTGTTTTGTTGTAGGCTCTGAAAAAGCTCTGGCACTCCAGTCAGGCTTATGCTTACCTACCTGAATGCCCCCCTCCTTCAGAGCTGCTCACCTTCACCGAGCTGGTTCTGGATGCACAGGGTCAGTTGGTGCAGATGAACAGACTGCCGGGAGGAAATGAGGTCAGCGATTCAGCATAGATGAACACATGAAATATAAAACAGAAGTTTTTCTATCAATCTTTTGACATCCTCTTCTTAAAGTGTGTAATACATGATTTGCTCTGTAGGGGTCTCTCTGTTGCTTTGGCTGTCTTGTTGAACTGTAAAGCTGCAAAGCTTACTTCAGGATCTTAGCTTATTAAAGTTGGAACTTTTTTTAGATTGAATTTACACCAAACAATAAAATATTTGTCAGCATGTGTGATTTATGTAATATTTATTTTAAGCGGGTCATTTTTTTTTTTTTAAGTTGAATCTTAATCACAAATGTTTTTTTTTAATTTCTAAACGGTCTGTGTTTTTTTAGATTGGCATGGTGGCATGGCGTATGACCCTGCGAACCCCAGAGTATCCAGCAGGACGGGAGATCATTATCATAAGCAATGACATAACTCACAAGATTGGCTCATTTGGACCTCAGGAGGATGTGCTTTTCCTTCGAGCCTCAGAGATGGCCAGGGAGAGTGGCATCCCTCGCATCTACATCGCAGCAAACAGTGGTGCCCGCATCGGCCTGGCTGAGGAGATCAGACACATGTTCCATGTAGCTTGGCAGGATCCAGCTGATCCATACAAGGTCAGCCAGACAAATGCTTTTTTCTACAGTCAGACAAATAAATTTTTAAAAATTTATTTATACCAAAAATGTGACCCTAGTTTTTTTTCTACAATATTTTTCAGTATTTTTAAATTCTTGAATTTGATTGTTACAATAGAACCATTTTCAGATTTATATTGTTCATCTTCTATAATTGACATTTTTATGCAATTTATTACGATCTCTTTATTCTCTATAGGGATTCAAGTATCTCTACCTCACACCTCAGGACTACAAAAAAGTCTCTGCTCTTAACTCTGTACATTGCGAGCATGTTGAAGATGGGGGTGAATCAAGGTAATGTTTCAGCTGATTTCTTATGATTACAAAATTATTGAGAAAGAAATTATTCCCTATCCCGCTGTGAGGAAAATCTGCATTGTTCTGTTGAAATTGTGTAAAATCTGAACATAAAAAACCTATCGGGTTCACGTTCGCGTTGTAAGCCCTACATTTTGTCTTGCAGGTACAAGATCACTGATATTATTGGAAAGGAAGAGGGGCTGGGTGTGGAGAATCTGAGAGGATCTGGAATGATTGCTGGAGAATCTTCTCTAGCTTATGAGGAGATCATCACCATGAATCTGGTAAAAAAAAAAAAGGAAAAAAAATATTTACGAAGCCTTTAATTGGAGCTGCTTTCTTCAAAAGCAGAGACTCCTTTTTTAATATTTTTTTCAGGCATTTTATATGATCTTAAGCACAAAGTAACTGAAAAGATTTAATATGGTTGCACTGAAAATATTTGATATATTTATAATGCATTGTTTCATAGGTGACTTGTCGAGCAATAGGCATTGGAGCCTATCTGGTGAGACTTGGACAGAGAACCATCCAAGTGGACAACTCTCACATAATCCTCACTGGAGCTGGGGCCCTCAACAAGGTAAAATGAGCTCCAATGCACAATCTGTATTTCAGCACAGCACAAAGACAATTAACTTTTTTTTGTTAGTAGAAACAGCATGAGCACCAAATGAGCTGTCTCTTAAATTAGCACCAATGATGAATCTGCATTTTAATGAGGAAATCTCTTAAAGGATTTATTAGTTGACTGCTAGAATGTGAGGCATTCGGGGGGGAGAAGTTGAGATAAAAGTGTGTTGGTAAAACATTGTTCTTTTTTTAACTTGTTTTCTTACTTAAAATAATGCTGTAGAAGGACCTCAATGGAAGACAAATGAGGTTTATGTGTGTCAAAATGAAGAGAATAATTCTGCTCTAATTTTTGTGGCTTGTTCCAACTCGCTGATCCTGCAATTTTCAGGCTGGCTCCTCTCTGCTTTGCTCTGTTCTACAAGGATTCCCTCTCTGACGGCAGCCACAGGCCTGCCTGCCACTCAAAGGGGAATAATTGAAAGCGAACCATGAAGCTGTATTTGCATAGAAATAGAGTGACATGCCAGAGGCTGCAGTGCAGGACACCCATATCATTTGTTTTTAATCAAAATGAAAAGTTTCGCTGATGCAGATTGTTTTTCTGCACACAATTGATGGGTGTGTGTGTGTGTATGAGTGTGTGTCTGTATGCTTCATTGCCTCCTGCTGTCTTGCTCTCCATTCTCTGTCCTTGTCAGTGCATTTTGATGACTCCATTTCAAATTATATGACACGCTGCAACATGGTAAACCATGCAAATGGCCAAATGATGGCATACAAATATTCCTGGAAGCTTGGTTATTAGATGCCCCCACTGTTTATCTCCATTTGTGGGAGCAGTGATTGTTATTTAAAAATGTTTGCAGTAATATTTCTGTTTATAATGATGTGAAATAGTATTTGCCCCCTTGCAAATTTCTTGTATTTGTTTTTGTGACAAATTTATGTTTAAAATCTATCAAACTGTAAAAGCAGACAGAGGTAAGATAACTGAATACAATTAGGAGTTTAAGTAAGCTGTTCAAGTCAACATGGGTAGCTTTAAAAAAAAAAATCTTTAATAATAACAGGTTGGCCCAGTTTTGGTGGCAACAACTACCAATATTTTACCGTGAAACGGACGAATCAAAGCTTTAGAAATTTAGATTTTTCTGCTAACTTCATGCCGTCAGATAGAGTTCATTTAGATATTTTTATTCTACTGATCAGGATGTTTTGATGCAGCCAGTCTCGGTAAGAAACAAGAAACAAACACAGGAATTTATCCCAAAAAAGCTCTTTTTTTTTTTTTTTCAACAGAATATATCTGTTGTTAAAATACATTTTAAAGCAGCTTTTTGTATGACCTTTGTTTGATATTGAAAAACATGTAATCTGCAACATTTAAGTGGAACCCCCCCCAAAAAATAGTAGAAATCTTGAAGTAGCAAATAGGTGTTTTTTTGGTTTTTTTTGTAACACAGTTGTATATTAACTGTATATTTAGCAGTCTTGAGTAAAGTGAGGAATATTTTTCTGCTAATCCGTCATGTGGATTCTTGGCTATTAACTGAAAGTTAATAGGGAGCAGCAGGCGGCCACCAGGAGATCATCATTTCATTAGCTGCTATGAAACACTCAGATTTTCATGGGGAGTGGATTGTAACTAGGACCACAAATACCCCAGTGAGCTGTTGCTACCAGTTGGGCCCTGGGTTTCTTCCTCCCAGTCATCTCTCCCTGTCCCTTGTCCAATATCTCCTCCTCTCTTCGCCATGGAATCTTAATGAAGCAGGCGATGGCCGGAGGCACAGAGGTTTTGTGTATGTCAAGGTGACTGTAATGTTTCTTGGGGCTGCCGCCTCTCCTGACAGCTTTAGGAGAGTGCCCCAGATTTGTAGCCAGATACATAACCATTAATGGTAATAAAGAAAGTAAATGATGGCTGAAAAGGTGAGAGCTGAGGGTAGGGATTGAGCTCCACTCTGATGTTTATGGAACCATGTCAGCGCCCAGCCACCTGTTCTGAGCTGCTTATGAAAATCGGGTGGGTTGAATTTATGGCTTCAGGTTAACACCTGAGTGACGTAGAGAGAAAAGAAGTTTGAAGCTTCCAGCTTTGTTCTTTTACAACAGACTGTTAGCTGGCTGCATCTGGATGGTTCAAAAAAGAAACCAGTTTTTCACTGGGGAAAAGGTGGTAGGATTAACCCGGGGCTGCCTCTGTGGACGATGACCTGCTCCTGCTGAGATACTGCGCTCTCCTGCTGCTTATCACCTGTATTGACAAAAGGTGCTGTTCTTTTGAACGTCCTTATGTGTGTCCGATCTCATTAAGCTTAGCAATACAGCACCGATAATACCCTCTGTTGTTGATGTTCTGGTTGAGACCATGAAAGGATCATTACACTGTAGGTTCAGTTTTACTTTGAAAATGTTTGAGCAATGTTTGGATTAACCCGAGGCTGTGGTTCCTCTCAAAGGTTTCCCTGTGTGTGATATGATCAAAGGTGCAAAAAGAAATGCATTACCTTTCAAAAGAATTAATATCCTTTAAACTTTGCACATTTTTTTAACAGCTCAACCACAAAGGTTAATGTATTTTTGGGGCATTTTAATGAAGATCAACGCAGTTAAACATAATTGAGAAATGGAGGATTTTTGATGCATGATTGCCTGCATTTAATTTAGTCATACAGTAATGGTAATAATCATTTGCATTTAGGCCAAAAAGTTTGTTTTTTTTTGTCTCATCTGAGCAACTCGTCTTCTTCAACATTTGCCTTTTTTTTTTTTCTTTGAATGCCTTTGAAGAACAGATTTATTCTATAGTCAGTTTACCCTAATAACTAATAATGTGACATCTGAAGGTAATTGTTGGCTCATAATATTTAGTAATATCAGAGCCCCTGATATCTGATATATCAGAATTAAAGGGGCTGATAGGGATTTCCTGAAATGCATTGCAAGATTTTTCTGACAGTTTTTTATTAATTTGTATAGAACCATATTTTATGAAACACTAAAATATATACTGAAACCCTGATACAGTTCATAGTGTGTCAGGGTTTGGTTGAGGATAGAGGACCCAAATGCAGAGGCAGGGAGAGGTGGGTTTCTTGAAGATTTAATTGAATGTTAACAAACAACTGAGGCAGGAATCCAAAAATCCAACATGAAAAATGTAAAACAAACTAGAACCATGGAGACATCAGGGTAAAAAGGAACGTGGAGTCAGGGAAAGACGAGTAGAGACAAAGTAAGACGAGGAACCAGCACTGAGGAACTGCACAAGGAGAGTATTTATGGGAGACTGAACAAAGAGAGGACTAACGAGCTGATTGGGAGCAGGTGTGAAGAGAGGAGTGTAGAAAAGAGCTAGCTAGGGAAAAGGAGACCAACACATTGCAACAAATAAAAACCTAAGAACTCAAATATATCCAGAAAACACCACAAAATAGGAATTAAACCAATAAAACTAGAAAACATGGAGCAAAGTAAAACTGAATACTCAAAAGAATACATAACAGAACCAAGACCGTGACATGTGACGTTTATAAACCCTTTTGTAAGACACTAAAGATATCGTGTTTTCCAGACTATAGAGCACACCTCTCTATAAAACATGTCCATAAATTTTTTTTTTGAAAAAAAAAATGGAAACTTACATTCTGAACTGTCCCCCCACCAAACCTCTAGGGGGAGTTCTACATATAGCCCCTGGAGTAGGGATGAATGAGAATGCTAGCTCCTGTTAGCTTGTTAGGTCACAGCAGTAAAAGCTTTTACTGAAAGATGGGGCTTTGTCAGCTCTTTATTTCACCTCTGCAAGAGTTGAGCCCAGTCACTTCATTGATTAGGCAGCTTTAATGAGGGAACTAAATGTCATTTGTTTTCCGCCGTGCCTGCTGCTAGCATGTTCTTGTGCTAAATGTAAATTAGCCACTTATTCTTTCATTTCCAAATTTGACTTCCCCCTCTGGCAGTTAGTAAAAGTAAACAGAAAAGCTGCACCTTCTCATAAGCCGCATGGTTCAAGGTGTGCGACAAAAGTAGCGGCTTATAGTCCGGAAAGTGCAGTAATCAGTGGATGTTTATATACTGAGATTACGCGTGATTACTTTATCTGTTTATTTATTTTATCATTAACATTTGAAACCAAAGTCAGATTCCTTGTTTGTCTTTACAGCTTGTCCAGCTCAGCTGAGTCTGATTATTGATTAAGTTCAAGGATGGATCAGATTAGAATACTGTGTTTTTATGATATTGACCGTATTTTGTTCTCAAATATAAATTTCTGCATTGGTCTTCACAGGTGCTGGGCAGAGAGGTTTACACTTCCAACAACCAACTTGGTGGAATTCAGATCATGCACAACAACGGTGTGACCCACAGTACTGTCTGTGATGATTTCGAGGGCGTCTTTAACTTGTTGCAGTGGCTTTCCTACATGCCCAAGGTAGTTTTCCTCCTCCGCCTTTCACACACATAAGATGGAAAAGTGACTTCCTGTGAGTTTATAAAGTTTATATTTTTTCCATAGTGTAAATCCAGTCCAGTGCCCATCATCAGCGCCAAGGATCCCATAGATCGGCTGGTGGAGTTTTTGCCGACCAAAACTCCTTATGATCCTCGCTGGATGCTGATGGGACGTCAAAGTAAGTCCCATATGATTATGAAATTGACAAATTTTCCATCCTAATATGTTTCACCTTAGAGATAAAACAAGATTTTACGACGAAGAGTAAATATTTCAAACAATACTTTGAAGATGTATTTTTGATTACCTGTAATAAAACTTTAAACTTATAGATTACTTGAAAGCAGATTTCTTTCTTCAAACCCAGGTCGAGAAGACTTGATCTTTTGAAACGTACAGATTTATCATTTCAGATCAAGAGACAAATGTTCAAATGGTACATTAAAAGATAAAGGCTTTTGATTAAAAAAATAAAACTATTAAAGGTGCCCATGTCAGCAACAAAATGTGTGCAGTAGATCTCCCTCTTCAGGTTAAAGATTAGTGTAATTACAGAGAATTTGAAGTACGTTGTGGGAACTCTGTCAGCTTCTGTGTTAGTGAGGAGGGACGAGGCCTAATTGAACGGTAACCTCAAAGGCTGGAGAAGTTTCTCAGTGTGTGCAAGCAGAAAAACCGCTGAGCCCAGCTGGTTATATAGTCATCCATCATGGGTGCTGCCAAGTGCACAAAAGGAAAAAAAAATAGGCAAGTGTGTTGTGAGACAGAATCCAGAAGCAAGTTAAAGAAATGGATAATTAAATAGAAATCGAACAAAACTTTTAGCATTGTCTTATTGCCCTAAGTTTCCTCTTGTTTCTAAAGCTCCAAAAGGTTCCTGGCAGAGCGGCTTCTTTGACCAAGGCTCCTTCATGGAGATCATGCAGCCATGGGCACAGAGTGTGGTGGTGGGCAGAGCCAGGTATGTTCAAGCGTTGGCATTAACAGAGACTAACACACACCAGATTTCTGGAGTTGCTTTTCCACAAAACCCCTAACTGGTTTCTTTTTTTCAGACTGGGAGGGATACCTACAGGGGTTGTGGCTGTAGAAACCAGGACGGTGGAGCTATCGATCCCAGCCGATCCAGCCAATCTGGACTCGGAGGCAAAGGTAAGATTCACTTACAGGGAGAGTTAAAAAGTCTGCCTTGCAAGTAAAGTATTTACCCTGCTTGAACTTTTCTAAAGGCTTTATACAAAACAAAAACGTTAAAGTTTAGAAGTAATTTCATTTCATTGTACAACAGTCCCAAACCAAATTTAAGGAGCGGCTTTTAAGTGCCATCACATAGGCAATAGACAAATAATACGCAATACAACATAAGCCTTTGACATATGTACTGTACTTGGGAAAATGATGATGCCTTGATTTAAAATGTGCAAAGTTATGTGCTGTTCATTTGAATTTGGCTACCAGTTCACTGATACTCCTAAATATAATATTATGCTAACAGCAAAGCAAAAATTGGTAATCTAAATAAGTACTTTTTTCTAAAAATCAGTGCATTGTTTTCTTGAATTGAGGAGGTAAGGCAAGGCAAGGTATAGCAAATTTATTTGTATAGCACAATTCAGTACAAAGACAATGCAAAGTGCTTTACATGATTAAAATACAGGAAGATAAAACAGAATCAAAGAAAGTAGGGAAAAAAATAAAAAAATAAATAAAAAATAAATAAAATAAAAAAATGCAGAAACAAAAAAAGAATATTAAAAACAGTTGGATTAAAGAAAATATGTTTTAGTTGAAACACTTTGCCAATGGAACAAGACAATTTGCATTTAAATCAGAAAAAACAATTGCATTGTCTTATTTCAAATGCGTATCACTTATTTATCTTATTTTAAGAGTAAAAATGCTCATTCCATTGGCAAATCATCTTATTTGCCTGCTCAAATTAATGGTAAATAAACTTTGAGAACATTTTACTTATTTCTAGATCGTTTTTGCAGTGAGTTGCCTTTAGAAGTGTTCTGTTTATTGAACAGATTCCAATGTGTGTGTAATCTAATTAGATTAAATGTGTAGGGTTCCTCTTCAGTCTGGTATTTTGTTTCAGTATATATTAGGACTGGATGAGAGATGGGAAAAATGAAATAATATTGAAAAAGATGCACATTCCCGGACTTCTTTCTTTCGACCTTGTCTCATCACTTATCTCCGCACTTCTTTCCCTCCTTGTGTCCTTTCCTTTGTGTCCTTCCTTACTTTTTTTTGTCTTTTCTGTCTTTGAGTGTTTTTCTTCTTCTCGCCCCCTGTATCTATTGTTACATGTCTGTTTTCTCCCTCTATTATTTCCATCATTTTCTTATTTTCTGTATTGTGAAAAGGTGTGATATTTTTACATGTAGCGAGGTTAAAAAGTGGAAAAGCTCAGTGACTATAAATGCCTTGGCAGCATGGCTGGGATAATAACCATGGTAATGATGCTGTATATCTCCTTTTTCTACATTTAGGTCATCCAGCAGGCAGGGCAGGTGTGGTTCCCAGACTCTGCTTTTAAAACGGCACAGGCCATTAAGGATCTGAACCGGGAGGGTTTACCTCTCATTGTGTTTTCCAACTGGAGAGGCTTTTCTGGGGGAATGAAAGGTATTTCTGGATCTTTTATTAGTCAGTATCAGTCAGAACACATTTTTGTGATCTAACTTGAAATTATTCTTTTTAGACATGTACGACCAGGTGTTGAAGTTCGGGGCCTACATCGTGGATGGACTGAGAGAGTACAAGCAGCCTGTTTTGGTTTATATCCCCCCTCAGGCTGAGCTGAGAGGTGGCTCCTGGGTGGTCATAGATCCCACCATCAACCCCCGTCACATGGAGATGTATGCAGATAAGGACAGCCGGTGAGTTTGTGAAGCTGAGAAAAATTCTCAGTACCGTATTTTCCAGACTATAGGCCTTTTTTCCCACACTTTGAACCATGCGGCTTATAAGAAGGTGCGGCTTTTCTGTGGATTTTTCCTAACTGCCAGAGGGGGAAGTCAAAGTTGGAGATGAAAGAATAATGGGCTAATTTTCATTCAGCACAAGAACATGCTAACAGCAGACATGACGGAGAACAAATGTCTCAAATTCCCACATTTTGACATTTATTTGCCCAATTCAAGCTGCCAAACAAATGAAGAGACTGAGCTCAACTACTAAATAAAGAGCTGACAAAGCCCCATCTTTCAGTAGATTCTCTTACTGCAGTGAGACAACGAGCTAACGGGAGCTAGCATTCTTCTTCTTCCCTAATCCAGGTGCTATATGTAGAGCTCCCCCTACAGGTTTGGTGGGAGACAGTTCAGTGGCTTATAGGCCGGTGCGGCTTATAAATGTACATTTCCAGTTTTTAAAAAAAATGTAATGGGCAGGGTCTGCAGTAAGGTGTGCTATGCAGTCCAGAAAATTCCTTTTAAAAAGGGTTGCAAATGATTCAAATTTTGGAAATTCACAGGAGAATCTTAAACTCCAGAAAATGCTTTTAGATTTCATGAGATACTCCGACACAAGGATCTACTGCTTAGTTGTAGTGGGGGGGACTTTCTGCTGCAGTACCAGCGAGGCTGATCCAAATGCATGTCATAATCAATGGAGCTAAATAAAGATAGCATCTTTAGATTTCATTTGCTTAAAAAGTTGAAAACTGCTTGTTGTTTTATTTATTTTACAGTAATGATCAACTATCACATAAAATCTAAATGTGAAAAAACAAACGTGTGGTTCCAAACAGCTTTGTCATCTCGATTGTGTCTTGTTTTTCAGAGGTGGCGTGTTGGAGCCTGAAGGAACAGTGGAGATCAAGTTTAGAAGGAAGGATCTGGTGAAGACCATGAGACGAGTAGATCCGGTCTACATGGGCTTGGCGGAAAGACTCGGTGAGATCCGACCCTGTTTTTAACTAGATCTTTCTTTACTTCCTCCTTTTAGTGAGTGAGCCGCCCATCAGGTGGGACCATGTGTGCTTTCCCTGCCCTGCCTTATTTGGTGTTGATTGTGTCATCTTCACTGCAGTCCCTGGGGAGACATGTCAATCACAGCCCACTCGGATCAATCACTAACTCCCCTGTGCAGGGTATTGATTTTGATGCTGCACTGGTTTGGTGCTTTCAGCAAAACATGATGGAATAAAGGTAGACTTCTGGAGGGCTAGAGAGCTTACAGATTGGAATTGACAGAAACCAGCAAGGGGTTTGTGGAGGGCCTGCAAAACGAAATGCTGTTGGAGACAGTTGATTTTTAGCTTCATTCATGAGTGGAACCTGAATTGATATTTGAGGGATAAGGACAACATGAATTATGAATACACACTGGGAATGCTTTATGAATTTTAGTCTTTTAGATTTAAACATCACATGAATTTGTTTTAACAATTATTTATGCAGTATTTTATCAGTTGCTTATGGCAATCGGGACCTAAGACGGTTATTCTATGATTTTTTTATAGTCTAATTTAATCAAAATGGTTGATTTAAAAGGAACCAAACAGAAAAATAAAGTCTAGTGTTTCCAAGGCACTTTAATGATCCAATCTAGTAACAGAAAGGTAAATGGTGCCTTGCTTTTGTCAGGTGGATGCTGTAATTTCATGTCTGTTTTTCAAACCATTTGGTTTCTGCAAACATGCGGCTCCAGTCCTACCAGTGGTCAACATCTAGGCAGGCCTTATATAAAGGTTTTTCCTCAGGAACATGTTTTATTGATTAATTTGGGAACTGAAAGTTGAAGATGGACAATTCGGATAAAGAAACACAAAACATCACAGCATGCAATGATTGATCAGGGATTGGTTCTGGCTAGTTTTATTAAAATAAATTTTTATCTTGTTCTGGAAGACATTTATATATCTTGTTAATCTCAACAGGGACTCCAGAACTGAGCCCTGCTGATCGCAAAGACCTGGAGACCAAGCTGAAGGAGCGTGAGGAGTTTTTGCTGCCTATCTACCATCAGGTGGCTGTGCAGTTCGCTGACCTCCACGACACCCCCGGTCGCATGCAAGAGAAGGGCGTCATCACGGTTAGTGCTAAGATCATCATTTGTTAATGTGTGTCTTTCATAGGAGCGTGTAGTAAGTGAATCACCTGAAAAGCCTAGAGGGCAGTATCAGTCTAGCTGCTGCTGCACCTGTCCAGTGAATAATGTTTGGTCTTACAAAGCTGCAAGACTCGTCTTCATAATTATCTTCTGATGACCCTGGTCAATCACCTTACCTACTATAGAGCAGCCTGAGGCGGGTCTCATCTCATTCTGCACCTTCCTGCTCCCATCTCTCACACCCAAACACACACACATACACACACTTTTTGCACATTACCAGGAGGGTGTTTCACAGATGGATGGTTGTCTGTGTTTTATTACACACAGTATTCACCCAGGAAGATTATTATTTGAACTTGACTCTGTGTTTACCTCAGCCTGCCTAGAGAAATCTGGGATTAAGTCTTTGATTCACTTTGATCACTCAATTCTGAGACCTCCTTGTGCTTTTATAAACAATCAGAATGATTCCTTGAAGTTTTGAACTTCTGTCCAAACTAAAATCTCAAGAAAAAGAACAACCTGAATGTGCCATACTAAATTATAAGACTTATTTTTATTCAAGACTGTTAAGTGATCTTTAGATGTTTTTAGCTATATAAAAACAAGAAGAACCTGAGTCTCATGAATCATCGGCTTTAGAAAAAAGAAATGATTAGTTGTAAATAAATCAAACTTTCCATAGCAGCTAAAATTTTGGTTCATATATTTACATGTCCCCACTTTGCCTTTTCTTCCCTCTCAGGACATCCTGGAATGGCAAACTTCCCGCCAGTTCTTCTACTGGCGTCTGAGGCGCCTGCTGCTGGAGGACACGGTGAAGAAGAAGATCCAAGCAGCCAACAGTGAGCTGACAGATGGCCAGATTCAGGCAATGCTGCGTCGCTGGTTTGTGGAGGCAGAGGGGGCTGTTAAGGTAAAACCAAACACATAAAAATGTTTGCTTGTATTCTGATTAATAGAAATCTATAATATAAAAAAAAAGTCATATAAAATGTACTATTTGAATGACGCATCATTTTTTTGTTGAAATACCAAAGCAGATATGAGTTGACTCTTCCTCACAAGCTTTTATTTCTAATGCAAAAAGTGGATATTGTAATCATGTAAATTAAATGGCTAAATGGAAACCACGCATTTAAAAAAAAAAAATATATATATATATATATATATATATATATATATATATATATATATATATATATATATATATATATATATATATATATATATATATATATATATATTAGGGATGGAACGGTTTATGAAAACCGTCCGAACCGTTCAGTTCGACTGTCTCGGTGCGGTTCACGTGTGTTGCGTTCAGTTCATGCCCTGCTCCTTTTTCTCATAGGCGAAGCATTTACACTCCAAAGCAGAAGGTGGCGGTACCGCGACCAAAACCAACTACCAGTAGTAAACAAGAAGAAGAAGCAAAGCAGCGTAGCCGGGTGTAGCAGAAAAAAAATCAGTTGTTGTAGAGAATTGTGTGGGTATGGCGAGTGGGAAAGAACAGGAGTTGGAAGACGTGCCAGCAGCACTTTATAGGTCTGCTGTATGGGAGCGCTTTGCATTTAGAGTGACCTACGATGACGGCGGAAAGAAAGTTGTGGATAAAAGTGCAACAGTGTGCAAGCATTGTGCATCACGTTATGTTTATGCTAACAGCAACACGACCAATATGTCATGCTAACCCCGAAATCCCACATACTCCTTCAGCGCTCCGCTCCGCTCTGCCCCGCTGCGCTCCAGACCGCCTGCGCAAAGCCTAAAGCCTCAGCTGTGGCTTCCGTCCGCTCCGAGTTCCTTGGAGATCATAGAGGGCATGCGCGATGATTAAATTCAAAGCAGCAAAACATACGGAAATGATCCAAGGTTTCCGCGGATCATTTAAAAAATAATTACAATTCATTAATTTTTTTTTATTTTAATTTTTTTTTGTTTCATAAATTTTTATGTGATTTCGGGGTAGCAATCAACATATACTGAACCGAAAACCGTGACCACGAAACCGTGAAACGAGCTGAACCGTGGATTCCGTGAACCGTTCCACCCCTAATATTCAGCATAGTTTTGTAACGGAAAAACAGCATCCATAATTATTTAGGTTGCCTAGTAGTGCGGTTGTTTTGATGTTATTTATTGATGTTCTAAGCTCTTCTGTAGATGCAAACTAGTTCTTGTTTTCGCTTTGCTGAGTAGTTTAACTTTAACATAATAAGTACACTAGCTGAGTGCTGTCATAATTGCTTATTTTATATATGAAAATGCAGTCAACAAGTTTGGTTGATTACCAATTGCACTTTTGGGCAAAATGTTTAAAAAATGATTGAAAGAAAATGTTTGGCTCAAATTTTAGTTTTTTCTTCTTTATGGATGTTTGTTCCCTTAAAGAAATTAAAATAAAACCATATTATTGATTAGATTCAGAAAGTCTATCCTGAGCCCCAATTTGATATAGTGGTCAAGAGAAGTTTCTGGTCTACTGTAGCTTTTAATGTTACATCGACTCATCCATTGTCATTTTAATTCAATACAATCGTCCTCTACACTTGACAAGAAAAAAAGGGCTCTTAAGCATGACTTTGGGCTGGATGTTTGAAATTACAGGTGCTGGTCATAAAATTAGAATATCATGAAAAAGTAGATTGATTTCAGTAATTCCATTTAAAAAGTGAAACTTGTATATTATATTCATACATTACATACAAACTCATATATTTCAGATGTTTATTTTGTTTAATTTTGATGATTACAAATGACAACAAATGAAAATCTCAAATTCATCATATCAGAAAATTAGAATATTACTGAAGACCAATAAAAACAAAGGATTTATAGAAATGTTGGCCAACTGAAAAGTATGAACATGAAAAGTATGAGCATGTACAGCACTCAGTATTTAGTTGGGCCTCCTTTGGCCTGTATTACTGCAGCAATGCGGCGTGGCATGGAGTCGATCAGTCTGTGGCACTGCTCAGGTGTTATGATAGCCCAGGTTGCTCTAATAGTGGCTTTTAGCTCTTCTGAATTGTTGGGTCTGGTGTATTGCATCTTCTTCTTCACAATACCCCATAGATTTTCTATGGGGTTAAGGTCAGGAGAGTTTGCTGGCCAATTAAGAACAGGGATACCATGGTCCTTCAACCAGGTGCTGGTAGCTTTGGCACTGCGTGCAGGTGCCAAGTCCTGTTGGAAAATGAAATCTGCATCTCCAAAAAGTTGGTCAGCTGCAGGAAGCATGAAGTGCTCTAAAACTTCCTGGTATGTGGCTGCGTTGACCCTGGACCTCAGAAAACACAATGGACCAACACCAGCAGATGACATGGCACCCCAAACCATCACTGACTGTGGAAACTTTACACTGGACTTCAAGCAACGTGGATGAAGTGCCTCTCTTCTTTTCCTCCAGACTCTGGGACCTTGATTTCCAAAGGAAATGCAAAATTTACTTTCATCAGAGAACATGACTTTGGACCACTCACCAGCAGTCCAGTCCTGTTTCTCTTTAGCCCAGGCAAGACGCTTCTGACGCTGTCTGTGGTTCAAGAGTGGCTTGACACAAGGAATGCGACAGCAGAAACCCATGTCTTTCATACGTCTGTGTGTGGTGGTTCTTGAAGCACTCACTCCAGCTGCAGTCCACTCTTTGTGAATCTCCCCCACATTTTTGAATGGGTTTTGTTTCACAATCCTCTCCAGGGTGCGGTTATCTCTCTTGCTTGTACACTTTTTTCGACCACATCTTTTCCTTCCCTTCGCCTCTCTATTAATGTGCTTGGACACTGAGCTCTGTGAACAGCCAGCCTCTTTAGCGATGACCTTTTGTGTCTTGCCCTCCTTGTGCAAGGTGTCGATGGTCGTCTTTTGGACAACTGTCAAGTCAGCAGTCTTCCCCATGATTGTGTAGCCTATAGAACTAGACTGAAAGACCATTTAAAGGCTTTTGCAGGTGGTTTGAGTTAATTAGCTGATTAGAGTGTGGCACCAGGGGCCATCAATTTTGAACCTTTTCACAATATTCTAATTTTCTGATATGCTGAATTTGAGATTTTCATTTGTTGTCATTTGTAATCATCAAAATTAAACAAAATAAACATCTGAAATATATGAGTTTGTATGTAATGTATGAATATAATATACAAGTTTCACTTTTTAAATGGAATTACTAAAATCAATCTACTTTTTCATGATATTCTAATTTTATGACCAGCACCTGTATGTACTCTAGCATTCTCAGTCTAATATTTTTAGGAAGAGAAAAGTTTGTAAAGTTCCCCTCACCCCAATCCTTCCCTGCCCCTGGTGACGTAGATGAACAAAAGAGGAATTTGTGTAAACACCTCCTACATGGGCGGTTTCACGATCTGAGTCAGTCAGAAAAAAGTGATGCCAGAACAAGTGTTTATTTTTGTCTATTAAATTAATTTAATGAGAGATTAAATAGCAGTTCTAACTAGGATTTAAATCATTTTTTGTTCCCTTTTGTAGCTATAGCTCTGGATTATTGATCAGATATTTTTTCTTTATTTTAAAATTAAGCCTGTACAAATATGTGCTCAGTTGTCAGGTAATGGATCCTTACATTTGTTTGCTAACTTGGATTTTAAACGCCTAAAAGGCTAATAGTGACCATATTCTTTATTGAAAGAGTATGGATGGGTATTTTATTGTGAAAATGTTGTATTTTCATCAGCTAGTTATCTGTATTTCGGTTTACCTCTAATTTGCACTGAGCCACTCATTAAGCATCTGTAGGTGGAAGGGTGAGAGACTTGGTGGGCAGGCAGGTGACTCACATCTCTGCCAGCCACAACAGGGACTATAATAGACCTTATGACAGTATAAACCCTAAAACTCTGCCAAAACTGATTGGTCAATGAAATAAAAGAAAACGCTCAAAGATGGAGAAATGTGGTTCCCTCTTGGCCCAGTCTGGGTTTCAGACGAGCAGCTGCTTCTTTGACAGAAGCCTGCTCAGCGTCAGGGATCTCTTAAGAAAAGGCCTTGTTAGCTCATACGTTACCCCAGCCCTGCCTGCCTGTCTTTAGCCCCAATTAATCACAGCCCTGGGACGTGCAGATAGGACAGCAACACACTGTTTCTTAATTAAAAGCAAACAGATTAAAAATGATTAATAAGGGCATTAAATGTTCTTGTGGACCTCAAGCAGGACTGCTCAGGAGCAGCAAGAGCCTATTAAGCCCCTCCTCCCCCCAAATCCTTGCTAAGCCCTGCAGCCTGGCTTTGTTTGGGAACAGAAATGCCTGCACTTATGAATGCTAATTTTTCTGACCAGACCAGTCAACAAGATGTGGAGCCTTTACTTTTTTCACTGCTGTAGATATTTACTGTAGGTGTTCCTTCCTTTAAACTGATGCATTTCTTTTTATTTTAGTAATCTTTCTTTATGAACAAAAGCCATCAAATTGTGGAAATTAACAGCCTCCTTTGCAGTGGTGTTCCAACATAAAGTTCAATCTCTTAATCAGTGATCCGATTCCACTTTAAAGTGATTCTTATAATAGAAACTTAGCCATGAACCTTAAAAAACACTGTCCTCGTGGTAACGCAGTGGTGGCAGTGTCATGCTGTGGAGAGCAGCATGGGGAAGATGGGAAAGATGTATGGAGCTAAAACACAGTAGTCCTAAAGCGAAAACATGTTGGAAGCTTTAAAAAAAAAAACTTTAAAAAGATGTGAAGGTTCATCTATTAGCCTTACAATCAACCTACACTTTACTCTATAATAGTACAGATTGCATAGATTAATTAATTTCTCAGAACAGTCCAGTTAAATTCCTGGCCTAATTCCAATTGGTAATCTGTCATGATGTTTTAGAATTGATTTTTATTAAGTGTCATCATCTAATCTGAAAGCTATCTTGAAAAATCAAATTAGCCAAATTGTTTGATAATAAAAGGTTTAATTTTTGTTAACTGTGATTTATCCTGTTAGTTTAAACTCCTTTGATCTAATTCGCTCAGGCATATCTGTGGGATAACAATGAAGAGGTGGTTTCATGGCTGGAGAGGCAGCTGGCCGAAGAGGAGGGTGCCAGATCTGTCATCGATGAGAACATCAAATACATCCGAAGAGATCACCTGCTTAAGCAGATCCGCAGGTGATTAGACGCATCCCTCCAGGTTTTAATGTTCTAAAAGGTGACATTATATAAACAAGAAACATGTTTTTCTCTTCCAGCCTCGTTCAAGCTAATCCAGAGGTTGCCATGGACTCGATCGTACACATGACTCAGCACATCTCCGCCACACAGAGAGCTGAGGTGGTGCGAATCCTGTCCACCATGGAGGCGTCTACCTCATCCTAACACTGTTGTACTGGGCTTTGGTAAAACAGAAGGAGCCATGACTCCTGAGTGGGACCTGAGCTGGAAACGTTGGACGAGAGGAACCAACATTGTAGCCCTAGGAAAAGCAGGGCTGCTGGTAAAGCTTTGGAAATGATTCTCGCTCTGTAAGACGTCAAATGATTGATGGTATCTCTAATATTTTGTACATTACTCTCATAAGTCTTAGTGTCTGCTTAAGTCTGTAAATGTATTTTCCAGTGCAATTTAAAAAAATAAATGTCTGGTAATTGGTATTTAATATGTTTAGGATTTATTTATTATGAAAGGATCTATCCTTCCATGATAATCAGTGACCTCCATCCTTTTAACCTGGAGCGTGCACAGTAATATATTTTTTAGAAATGCTCTACTACTGTTAGAAAAGCACCTTGGTTTGTGACATATGCTTGTGAAGGTTTACAAGTGTTTTGATGACCAGCTCAACAATGACAACACATCGCCTGTGGAGTTGACCAAAAAGGAGTTTCGCTCTACTATATAAAAAGCATTTAGTTACTGAACAAAGACAGGAAACGCTAAGGCAGATTTGGCCAGGGAAGCCCAGCAGGAAGCGCGACGAGGTCCCTTTTAGACCCCGACTGTTTCACAGTTACCCTGCAGTGAGCAGTGGGCAGCTTGCCTCATAACAAAACCACAGCTGTCCCCTCTGTTCTCACCCACACATGCTGCTTAACAGGCACTTTAGTGCTTACTGTCCGCTCACACTGCACCGAGAGCCGAGCCCCGCTCAGGTCTCTCTGCTAGATAAGCGCATACGCACAAAGTGGCACAAACTAACACACAGAGTGGATAAAAGCTAAAATACAAATTGATAATGGCTCCATTGACAGAGTAAGTAACAGAAAGCTTGTTTTGAGGGATTAGGTCATCTTTTGCTGTGTTGCTTGCACAAACAGCACAATAGCTTCAGGTTTTTAACCAAAGATATTGGTTTGAATTGAAAACAAGTCGGTGGGCAAATCAGTCATGTCTATCAGAAACGGCAAACGCTGCTCTTCACTTGCCTCGATATGTTACGTGTCAGATGTAGTGTCCCAATGTCCACAAACACTCTTCCATAATGTTTATGAATTGTAAAATGGAAGTTCCTGAAAGCAATGATGGAATCTTTTTGAAAACTGCCTCAGACGGCAGAACATTACAGCTAAAGAGCTCTGTGATGTTAAATTCATCTCTCTTGCATTATGTCATTTGATTTGCTGTTATCCTCATGGCTGCATGGATCAGTTTTGTGCCTTTTGTTCCAACATGTACATGCTGACCAGATGCTTTAGATATAACCGTTTACTTACAGAAGACTTTACAGCAAGAAGCTTTAGACATGTCTGCTGGTTGAATAAAACGTACTAACTAACTTCATTGTCTTGTTATTTCCACTTTGATATTTCTTTAACTTGTACCTCTATAAGGTTTCTTATAAAAAGGATCTTGGACTCCTCAAAATGATGCTCAATAACACTCTTTTTTTTTTGAGATAATAAAATTCAGAAAACTGCAAAACGCATTTTTGTTCCACTCCCTGTGGATCTTTTCCTGCTGAAAATTAAATCTCCAGACCAGAATCAAGTATCCTGCCACCTCCAAGAGGTTTTAAAATATTATACCTTCAGTATTATTGCCTTGTATTTAGCCCCATCCAGCATCCCATAAACTCTGACCATCTACCTTATAGCTTCTGAAAACTCCATATCATGACACTGCCACTGCCGTGTTCCATCATGAGGATGGAGTTTGAAGTTGATAGCTACACTATATTGCCAAAAGTATTTGCTCACCCATCCAAATTATTGGAATCAGGTGTTCCAATCACTTCCATGGCCACAGGTGTATAAATTCAAGCACCTAGGCATGCAGACTGTTTTTACAAACATTTGTGAAAGAATGGGTCGCTCTCAGGAGCTCAGTGAATTCCAGCGTGGAACTGTGATAGGATGCCACCTGTGCAACAAATCCAGTCGTGAAATTTCCTCGCTCCTAAATATTCCACAGTCAACTGTCAGCTGTATTATAAGAAAATGGAAGTGTTTGGGAACGACAGCAACTCAGCCACGAAGTGGTAGGCCATGTAAACTGACGGAGCGGGGTCAGCGGATGCTGACGCGCATAGTGCGAAGAGGTCGCCAACTTTCTGCAGAGTCAATCACTACAGACCTCCAAACTTCATGTGGCCTTCAGATTAGCTATAGAACAGTGCGCAGAGAGCTTCATGGAATGGGTTTCCATGGTCAAGCAGCTGCATCCAAGCCATACATCACCAAGTGCAATGCAAAGCGTCGGATGCGGTGGTGTAAAGCACGCCGCCACTGGACTCTAGAGCAGTGGAGACGCGTTCTCTGGAGTGACGAATCGCGCTTCTCCATCTGGCAATCTGATGGACGGGTCTGGGTTTGGCGGTTGCCAGGAGAACGGTACTTGTCTGACTGCATTGTGCCAAGTGTAAAGTTTGGTGGAGGGGGGATTATGGTGTGAGGTTGTTTTTCAGGAGCTGGGCTTGGCCCCTTAGTTCCAGTGAAAGGAACTCTGAATGCTTCAGCATACCAAGACATTTTGGACAATTCCATGCTCCCAACTTTGTGGGAACAGTTTGGAGCTGGCCCCTTCCTCTTCCAACATGACTGTGCACCAGTGCACAAAGCAAGGTCCATAAAGACATGGATGACAGAGTCTGGTGTGGATGAACTTGACTGGCCTGCACAGAGTCCTGACCTCAACCCGATAGAACACCTTTGGGATGAATTAGAGCGGAGACTGAGAGCCAGGCCTTCTCGTCCAACATCAGTGTGCGACCTCACAAATGCGCTTCTGGAAGAATGGTCAAAAATTCCCATAAACACACTCCTAAACCTTGTGGACAGCCTTCCCAGAAGAGTTGAAGCTGTTCTAGCTGCAAAGGGTGGACCGACGTCATATTGAACCCTATGGATTAGGAACGGGATGTCACTTAAGCTCATATGTGAGTCAAGGCAGGTGAGCAAATACTTTTGGCAATATAGTGTATGTTGAAGCTAAGATTGAATTAAGTGTGGATTCTATCTACTAATAAGGTGATTTCTTATTTTATTTCAGCATTGGGGAAGGCTAGATAAAAACATTCAAGTTTGTTGTTAAAGTTTGTTTGGTTCAAGGGATTTTAATATATTTTCAAAGCAATGTAGGTTTCAAAGAATTTGCACTAATTTAATTTGACAATAATGTGCATATATTGATGATTTATGGGACAGATAATCTCATCACAGGGAGCCTCATTCATTTCTCCAGTCAGAACAAAGTCCGTCACTCTGGAGAGACTTTCTCCTGATTACTGGAAAATGATAGTCTTCCGGTTCCTCACTCCACAGATTATTAAAGTGGCGTTTTCTTTCTGGGTTTTAAACTTCAACAGTATTAAAAAGGATGAAGCGGATCAAACAAATATTGAGGGATCTAACTCATCCTTCTTTCTCATGTCTGATTCTTTTAAATCATCCCCTTGGCTCTGTCAACTCTATTACCATCCAACCAACAAATATGTAAGACAAATTGAGTTGCATGCACCCAATACCCACCACAATTATAGAAGGCCCAATAAGAAAATGAGTCATTTGGAAGTATAATTGGAAATGTTCCTTGCTTGGTCTCTCTGGTTTCCCAGAGGGCTCTCCTTATTTGGTGACATGCAAGGCTGGCTAATTCTGCTTTTAATCACTGACAAACTGCAGAATCAGGTTAGTCCTCAGCCAATCAAATGAAGGCGGGAGTTCAGTAAAACTTGTAGGGAGCTGCTTAATGTCTTTAAACTTGTTAACCATCTGGACCCAGAGCGCAGAATTGACTTTGTATAGCATCATCACTCTAGATCAGCTTCATTTGTTCCAAACTTTTAATATTGCAGTAATAGATCTACTGTAAATGGCTCACTTTTCAAATTGCTCAAAAGACTAAGCCTCAGTAACTGCCAGTCTCAGGCATAACCTTCTCAAAAAACTGTACGGGGCTAACAGAGAGAAATCCTATTGAAATACGGGGAGAAAAATCAGTGTCTGTGTTGAGACTGAAATGGGGGCCTTAATATAGCACAGAGGGGGAGACATTATCACGCATCTGAGGCGCCCATAATTCCACATTCACGCGTCTCAATGACTTGACAGCACTTGAGAGACAAAGCCTGTGACCCAGTTGCAGGATTCCAATTAGCAGGGTGTATGCAACAGTTGATATGAAAAGAGGACAGGGTCTTTACAGAGCCCCAGGGCTGTCTGATTACTGCCTGAAAACACAAGTCTCTTGCCCGTGACAAAGGGTGGAGTGACACAGAGGGAGCGCCAGGCCTCAGCTGCTCTCCACGCTGAGGATTCTGAAGAGCTCATCTCATCTAAGCCTGCATTGCCAGCCTTTTTACATTTCAACTAGAGTTAAAGTGCAGAGCAGCAGCCTTGGCTAAGATGCTTTTCAAACATGTCCAGTGGGTGAAGTGGGAGATGTTCCTGCCAGACTAGGCTAAAAATGAATGACCTCTATCTCAAAAGGCTATAGAGTCATAGGAAAAGAAGGTATGCTTTTCTTGAGAATGGTATCAATCCATTGATCCCCTATAATGTTCAAGAAAAAGTCATTATTTAACAAAATATTCAAAACACTTAACAGAGACCTATACTAGGTAATCTTCAAAGAGACAAACATCTTTCAAATCAAACATGCCTCTTTAACAATGTTTTTTGTTTATCTGCTTCTTGCATCGTCCTTGACATCATTCCTTCAGTTTACTGATGTTAGCAGACATTTAGGCACAGCTTTTTCAGGCTCCACCACCTTATTTAAATGCAGTTCAGGTCTTGGATTTAACCTGGGTGGTGTGACCATTTTATAGCCATTCTGCTGTAGATTTGCTGCTTGGTTCAGGGTTAATATCCTGTTGAGTACCGGCTTTCAGACAGTCAACAGATGTGCTAAACATTTGCCTCCAGACTATGTTGGTGTACAAAATATTTAATTGTCAACACAATCACTGTAATGTTCTCAGGTCTTGTGGCTGCAGAATATTACAGTCATCATCCTTCCTCCACCATGCTTAACAGCTGGTATAAGATTCAGAATTTTTGCTGATGTGCATTAAACTGAAAAGTTCTGCTTTGGTCTCACTTTAAGGACAACGTTCCAGAGGTCCTATTGTTCATTTATATGCAACTCTGCAAAGTGATAGCACCATATTATTTTAGGAAATATTGTTACATAAAATCCTTATATTCAAGCCACAGTTTTTCAATCTTTTAAATTTGAACAATTACATTTCTAAGGCTTATAGAGTCTGAGATTAACTATTTTTTCCTATTTGCATGAGCATTGCAGAGCCGGATATTACTGTTAACTTGCTAAGCTTTTTCTTTAATCAACATTTCCCATTTTTGTTGTTTAGCGAAAAGAACTGGTGAAAAGAAACAGTTTTAGACCCTTATAAAGACCAGCTCTTTTCTGATACATAAGGCTGAAAGTGGTTAGGTTAGTTCATCTTATTTTTTCCCATTTAGACTAAGGTTTTCAAACATGCATAACTGATTAACAAAAATAAATATCCAAAAGTTTGCATATTTCTATGGAGATTTAGTATTCAAATTTCCTAATAACTTTGATTATTTGTTATATTTTTAATGTATGCATATTTGTAGAAGATATTCTTTATATATATATTCATAACATGTTGTTGCAGTGTTGATTTAAAATGAATGATATTTATTTTAGGGTAGATTAATTAAAAGCAGCTTGATAAACTGGTTTGAAAAATCCTGTTTCATGCCAATGAAATGTAAATAAAATGAGAAATATACTGTTTATTGAGGAAATCTATTTACAGAAAAGTATTTCTCCCCTTAAAATCTCCAGAGCAAAAAGCAGGAAATTCATCAGTGAGGTTCAGAAATCGAAATAATTAATAGTTAAGATAAAATAAGCCTCTCATACTTTAAACAAAATGGTTTAGAGCTGTGCTTTTGCTTTGATATTATATTTAGAAGGCTGCCGGTATAGAAAATAAAAGTAAATATTACCTTGTATCTTCCCAGCATGGATGTGGAGTGCAGCGAAAGCATCTCAAACAGATGCAGATTACAACATCCTCCAGTCATCCCCATGTAATGCAAACATTTTCAGTCAGACGGGCTCAGCAAATATTAGAAGAACGCAAATTGCCAAGACAAAATTCACAAGCGAAAAACCATAACAAAAAAAGAAGACAAACTAAAAATAGTTTTAATCTCAAATAAACAGAAAAGTGCTTCCTTTTTTATTTATTTTCAAAGAACTTTTAAACAGAATAAAAAGACCGCCATCCCATCTTTAGCTGTAAAATTACACTTTTCCACTATTCATGCAAGTGTCAGTTTTTA